ACCTAGTTTCGAGCACACATATAGCTCTTTAAATAATATCTTTACAATTTATGGAATACTTTTGATAGATCGAGAACCGTTAATCGATAGCACTAAGGCAAACACAACATTGCAAAGAAACAAATATAACAATACACATATACTTATTCTGTTGAGAAATAAGTCAAACGGTTTAAATATATAAAACAAAATTCGAACATGAAAAACCTACCTCTGTTATTACAAAAAAATAAAAAATAAAAATACATCAACAATAAACAATGCATATATGACGCAAACAGCATCGCCTTTATAGAAAGTAAAAGACAACTACTCAAACAAACAACCCCAATAAAATATTTACAACTTGAGAAGCACTCACTAGAATAAGAGTAGTAAAGTTTAGGCGATATTGAACAACTTATTATTAGTCAATATACTTTAACCAATTAAATATACAAATATTGGGATGTCCATCATTGAAAGAAATAATATTAAGTGAAATTTCGTCCATACATACAGGATTAAAGAAGAAAAAAATTAAGCACAATGTCAAAAGTCCCGTTTATTCTATTGAAACTTTTTCTGTGTGGAGCCAGAATTAATTCCTCGTTTTACAATCATTGGCCCCAAAAATTTTCAATTACAAATGTACGTGCAAGTCCTACACAGTACTCCTTCACACCCACAATCTAACAAAATTACTTTAATGTCCGCTCCGTTATATATAGCCCCCCCAAATACCGACAAAAAAGGTGTAGTATCCGATCCTCCCGGCGTACGTTAGCTAAAACAGCACAATCATCTGACACGTGTGATCCAATCAAAGTCATTACCATGATCCCAGAAAAGCCCGCTTCAGATTTCTAGCGCGGCTTTGATACCCTGCGGTCGCATCTAAAGTGATAAACTTAAGTGCCCGTTAAACCCGTTTGGTTGATATATTTAAATATATAATTTTGATTCTCTTAACTGTTTTCCTCTCATGAAATATTTGAATAAAAAAAAATTTCCACCGATCACTCTAAATGTATCAAAATCACTAATTTAAAAGTACGAACCAAATAAACTATAAATTCTCACGACTTATTTATACAACAATAATAGTAAATAAAGAAAATAGACAAATATCCTTATATGTGTCTTGATTTACACTTCTTATTCTTAATTTATATATTTTTTAATCAAATAATTATATTAGTCAAAAGAATATTGATAAACCGTAAGGATAAAAATTTAAATTTATGCACTTTAAGAGTAAGTTGAATAATTTTTTTCAATAATAAATAATAAATGAAAGAAGAAAGTTTACTAGTGATATAAAATGAACAAGCTAACTAACCATTTTTGTTTTCATTTGTATTAAGTAACATATATTTATTAAGGCGGCGTTTGACAATTTTTTTATACTTTGTACACACCTTTTTTTTAATATTATTAAAATAGTAAAATATATTTTTAAAAAAATACTCACCACACACACCCCACCATTAAAAGAAAATATATTGCCTTCTAAAATTTATTGTGCCCTAATTTTTTAGAGGAACATAAATGACTTCTTAAAAGAGCCGCACTACAAAAAGGTACGTGGTTAGATTTTTATTTTTTTTTCTCTTAAAAATGATTGCCTTCTACACATACTTGTTTGAATTTTTTACCCACGACTAAATGCCAAGTATAGAAGACTGCGCTCATGGTTTTGTGGGTGTTAGTTCTTTTGTCGTTGGGTATCGTAATTACCTTCGACACAAACTTGTATGACTTTTTTACCCACGATTACATGCAAGTATAGAAGGCTGCCTTTGTGTTTTCAATGAACGCTTATTCATCAAAAAAGGAAAAAAAAAAAAAAAAGGAGAAGAACTCATAGTTTTATGGGTTTTTAGTTCTTTTGTCGTTGAGTATCATAATTATCTAACATTATGATGAATCATATTTAATAGTTTTCTTTGTCGTAGTATCTAATATCACGATTTTCTAATGTCACTGTTATACGTAAGTTTTTTTTTTGCGCCTTCAATATCAATTTTAATAACGGAATGAGTGAGTGAAAAAAAAAAAAAAAAAACTTCTTATTTTGTACCTAGCATAACGAATGATATTTTAATCATTTTTTGTTACAACAGATCGCTTGTTATATATCGGTCTTTTTATTTTTACGAGATTTACAACTATGGTATTCATTTTATACAAGAACATCATATAATTCTGAGTTTTAGTTTCCTAACCTTTTTTTTTTTTTTTTTTTTTTACAATTTTGTAGAAATCAATATCTATTGAAGCGGACAACATTCTTTTTAGTACGTATATGATTATATCACTGAAATTATTACTTACGAGGTAAAATAATTAGATATTATAAGTTATTTTCTCTTTTTGTACACATTTTTAAAATCACGAGATAATGTTTCTAAATATGTATAAGTATTTAACGGTAAAGCTGCTTTAATTCAATGGACTCAGGAAATTAGAAGGAAAAAGGTTTCAACATTGGGGGTCGTAATGTGGCAACTAAGGAGACAATTGATCTTTATAGTGATAATATTTCGATATAGTATCTTAATATATTTCTTGTACGGTAATTTTTTTAGGACACCACAAAAAATATTACAGTTTATTTTGAGATCTTGACATTTTGAATCACCCGTTAATGTTTGACAAGAATAATTTTTATGATCTTATATTATGCTCCTAGATTTTCTTTGTTTGTTGAAAATGGGTGTACGTACAACTAGAAGAAAAAACAATTTCGTACAACCTTTATAAGCAAAATGTTGATTCCTAAAAAAAGTAAGACATTGGATTTGTGAAAAAAAAAAAAGAAGTAAAACGTTCATACATAAAAAAAAAAAGGAAAACATTCGGATTTCTCAAGGAAAAATAATAATAAGAAGAAGTGTGATAGAAAATAAAACTCATAAAACATTTGTTTTTAAAGAGGGGTTATTTATTTGTTGGCAGGTGAACAAAGGATACAAATTAAAGTTTAATTGAAGGAATGGGGTAATTTAGTTGTATGGACTTTTTTGAAATTTTAAGAGAGCTATAACGAGTAGAATGAGGAGTGGTTGAATAATGTGTGTGAAAAGTAAAATAGGAAAAATATAGTTGTAGGAACTTTTTTAAAATTTTAAGAGGGTGTAACAAGTAAAATAATTGATGGTTTAAGAATGTATGTGTAAAAGGTAAATAAATGGGTGTTAATAGACACACACATTTATTAATATTGTACGTTTCTTAACACCAATCTATATATAAATCATATTATAAAAGTAAATAATGTGCAAAATTGGTACATCTTAATGAAAATCCAATTATTTATCATTGAACAATCAATACATACATTATTTTAAAGAAAAATTATCTTTTTTCATTATATTTTGTTAATTTTGTATATTATTTAACTCCAATACAACTAGAATGAATCTGGTAAAATATCCTAAAATTTTCTAGCACCTGTTTTAAATTTTCAATCCATGAAAAGCATAGTCAAAAAAGTTATACCTTTTCCTTTTAGAATAAAAGAAAAAGATATATACTTTATTCATACCGCCAAACCTATATTCACGCACCATAATTTTTCATCACATATTCACATTCCATTAAATTTAAGATATTTATTTGATGAGTAAAAAAAAAAAATTTAAGATATTTATTTATTGAGAATCTTTATAATAGAGAAGATTGTTTTGCTATACCAGTAAAAATTATTGTTTTTAACCATTGAACTAGTTTTTTAACGTTTAGATCTACACATGTTCATATAAAAAATTTATAATGTACGACACTACTTCTACTACATATCAGACAGTTGAAAAATTAATCAAACAGTTAAAATGAAATTCTTACAGGTGGAGAAAAATAGCCTTATCCACTACATATGCACTTCAAAAGATTTAAATCAATGTAACACGATCTCTAACGAATCATATGTCCTACCGCATAAGTATTAGGGCTAGTTTGACATTATTGTGCTATTAAAATTTTTGTTGTTGATATGCTGTTAATTACAAGTTGCTGTGACCAAAAGCATATAGTGTTTAGTAAATTTTTTTCAAAATTACTATAAATACCAGAAGCAGAAATTTATATGCTTAGTAAACTATGTATAAAATTGCTTTGGAAACGTATTATAGTTAAAAATTGACGTAATTTAGCACACATATTTATAGTTATTTTTATTTTTATTTTTAAGACTAATATTCATAATATTTTTACACTAAAATAATTAAATATATATATATATTAATTTATTATTTAAATATTTATAAAAATAAAATATTAAATTTAATATTCATGGTTGTTACTTTAAACATTTTGAAAATTATAAAAAATAATTGAGTAAAATTTAACATGGTATATTTATAACATATTTTAAAATTTAAATAAATATTTAAAAATATTTTTAATTTAGCATAAAAATAAAATGGTTAAAAAGAGAATTAAGTTTTATTATTGAGATTCTTTTAGTAAATTTAAATAATAACAACAAATATAATTGTGTAAAAGCAACTCATGACTTATTTATCTAATTTTATTGTTTCGGAGCAGTTTTTAAAAACTGTTAGACAAAAGTAGATTACAACCTCTTAAAAAGAGATAAAAGCAGCCTCTAAAAGATACTTCTCTAATTTTATTGTTTGGCAATAATTTTAAAAAACTGCTGAATAAAAACAAGATTTATCAACCCGGACCAGCTGCAACTTCTAAAAAAATAAAAAATAATAAAAAAAATAAAACAGCCTCTAAAACAATCCAGAAGGGCTCTTAGCCTATTAGGTTTCTTTTCCTCCTATCATCGATCCAAGGGTGACAAAATTGGCGCTCACGGCAACTTCAGTGAAGACGGCCGTGGAAGATAGCCACCAGGGTTTTCTCCTCGAAGGGAAGGGATGAAACTTAAGATGGTTGTGGGACTGGGACCCAGTTAACAACACAAAAAACTAAAAAAAAAAAAAAAAAAAGAAGAAGAAAAAAAAAATTTAAAAAATTGATTAATGAGCTTAGCGATGAAATGATGACGAGAAGGATAGTATTAGTCAACGGAAAGCAAAGCCAGCTCAATTCTCTCTCACAGATCCTTCTTTTGTTCACTTCCTCTGATTTTCCCCACTCTGACAAAATTTTTTTTTTTCCTTATTTTTTCTCTAAAACCCATTTCGCCGTACTTTTCCGGCCAATACAGACAGAAACAGAGAACCAAAACAAAACAGAGCCTTCTCTCTCTCTTTTCTTCTCTTAACAGCAACTCTGATGCGCTTCGTAGCGATTTTCTCCGAGGAGCGGGGACAAAGGAAAGAGGAGATTTGTTTTTGTTTTGGTTTGGTTTTTTCTTTTTTTTTTTTGGAGGAGCCAAAGGATTCGCGGGAAAGTGACGGAAAACAGAGATGTGGAGGACAGGCCGATAAATGTGAAGGAAATGGTGTGTTTTTCTGACACTGTGTCTGCAATCTGCATGAGAGAGAAAGAGTGAGAGAGCGAGAGAGAGATAGAAAGAGGAAGTTATTTGGTGGTGAAATTAAATGAGTTTGTATAGTAGAGAGAAGGTGGGAGATGAAAGAGATGGTTTATTTATTTATTTATTTTTTCACAATGAATGCTTAATTAATTGAAAGAAGCCGTTTGTTTCTCTCTCTCTGGGAGAGAATTAATTGCTGAGAGAGTTAGGGAAAAAGCGGTGTCCTCAGTTTTTTTCCATTTATTATTATTTTTTTACTACGTTTATATACAAAATCTCCGTCATCTTGTTGCTCAAAATTTATTTTCCTTTTCAGTTTCACTCTCTTTTCTCGTTCCCTGATCCAATCGTCTCTTTAATTCACCTGCTCTATGTATCTACGCTCTCTATCTTTTCTCCTCCACAAATCAAGGTTTTTTTTATTTTTTTTTATTTTTTTTAAAGAAATAAAATAAGAACTTGCCAGGATTACGATTACTAGAACATGGGCTAAAAGGGTTTTTTTTTTTTTTTTTTAAGAAATAAAATAAGAACTTGCCAGGATTACGATTACTAGAACATGGGCTAAAAGGGTTTTCTTTCTTTTCTCTGTTTTTGTTTTCGTTTTCGTTTTTAGTTCAGCTTTTGTTTACTGGGTTTTCTGAAGTTGTGATGTTTGGTTGCAGCGATTCTTAAGGTGACAGAGAAAGGTGCAAACTGCAAAACCAATCTTTTATGGTCCTGAAGGTACTAAGAATTTTCGCAAATATGTTTTCGTTCTATTAGTTGTTTGAATTAAATTTCTTTCTGGGTTTTTGTTTTTGTGTTTTGGGATCTGATTTAGATCTTTGTTATTCTCTCGTTTTGGTTTTTACCGACTTTTCTACTTCTACTATAGCTCATACTTTTTTCTTGTTTTTTTAAGTCTGGGTTCTCTTTTTTAAAGGGTTAGCTCTGATAATCATCGCTACTGGACAAAAAGATGGGAGTTTTTTTTTCTTATTTAAATATAATTGACAGTAAGATGGGAGTTATTTTGTAAGAAGACGACCTTTGTTTTGTTTTGTTGCCTTGTGTTTTGATTGAAAATTTTGAGCAATAATTTCAAGCTTTCAATAAAGTTCCAATTTTTTCCCGTCATTTTGCACACTGAGAAACTGACTCTTTAGATTCCCTACTGTTTGCCGAAATTTTTTCCCTTGGAGCCATTTTATTTGTCCGTCCTCTTTTTATTTTTCCCTTTTTTCTTCTTTTGGTTAGGGGGGTTGTTTGGAAGAACAACAATGAAGCTAGACGGGTTCTAGTACATTCACTCACCTGTTTTCAATGTTTTTTCTATACTTGAAACTTTTTTGTTAATCTTATTGTTTATTATATAGTTAGTTTGGTTTGTAAAGTGTGGTTGCGAATTGGGATTTTTTTTTCTCTGCAAATTATGGCTAAGTACTTGTGTTTCTTTTTTCTAATATTTTGGTTGATCTATATTGCTTCTTAGTTGTAATACGCCATCACCATCGTTTTTAAACCCTTTTTCTTCCATATAAAACAAATAAAAAAATTAGATACCCAGCCATGGAAACTGCCCATAACTCAGTTTGCTAACGAATTACTTTGTAATAGTATTTATTTATTTATTTTTGATAGTGGGTGTCAATTATTGTAGCAGAAGTCTGGTTGTATATTTCTTTGTTGTTTGCCACTGTTCTCAACCGCTCGCTGTCAATGTGACGAGTTTTGTGGTTCCATGTCTGCCTTTTGTGTTGTGCCACATCTTTACTTTAGGCTAATTAAATTTTGTTAATTCAGAGCTAGTGATGAAAGAAAGTATCTTTATAAATATTTGTTCTTATTCAAAGTTGGTCGTCTTTAGTTGCCTTTAACCTAGCTTCATGCATTTTATTGGGCAGAATCCATGCTTGAATAGCTCTGAAGATTCTCCGGTCATTTGCCATATATAAACTATGAAACTTGGTAAGTAACATTTGACTTCTTTATTTATGGTGTCAGGCATTAAAATTAGTACCCTTGTGTTTATTGAAGAATTCCTTCTGTTAGTTAGATGGGAAATAACTCTCTTGGCCTTTTGACTAATCTTTTTAGTTTTGATGTAAAACTTTTGATGTATTTTCAAGTTACCTTTACAAAGTTCGTCAACTTGGGAATTCTGATGTGTTGCAGAAAGAGAACCGGTGTTCGGCCACATAACCCTAGGCCACAAGTCTGATCCCAAATCATTTGGCTACAATGACCTCTCTCACGACTCCATTGGGTTAAAGTCAGGAAATGTTACAAAGGAAACTCAAAATAGGTGCGCGAGTGCTTTTAAGGACAATGAGAAGGATACAACTCAATTACTCTATGTGATGGGTGATGGAGATGGCGTGGCTGGATCCGAAGTTAATTTCAAAAATTGCAAGGAATATGAAGTCAAAAACTTTGGGGTTCCATTTGCTAAATCTTCACTGGAAATAGAATCATTAGAAAAGGGATCGGACGATTACACTGACAAAAGTGTTACAGAATGTGAAATGCCAGAATTCCAAGTTTGTTACAGAGAGAGTAGCTACAATTCAGTCAAGGATATCTGCATCGATGAGGGAGTACCTGCCCTGGACAATATCTTGTTTGAGAGTGGTGCAGATATGAAAAGTCTTTGCACCTTTGTTTTTCCTGATCAGGATCAAAATTCACAACTCAACAAAGGACGTGTAGATATTGGTGCTGCCAGTCCAAATGGTTTGAATTCTTTGACGAAAACTGAATCAGAAAAGGAGTTCATTAATGTTCTTGAGCCCAAGGATTTTATGCAGCAAGGTGAAGGAAATTGCGATGCAACAGACAAGATTGAAAATGATATTTCCAAAGATAAGGTATTTCCTGAGAATGCAATTCTGATGAAAGAGTTGGGAGCGGATAATTCTCACCCCTGGTCTCCTAGTTGGGATGGTGATGCGGCTGCGCAAGTTCAGGTATGCATCTCTTAGCCAATATGCTCGATGAAATCTTATTTGGCTAGCTCATGCACCATTTCATGGTTGTGAAATGAAGGAGTTCAGGATTTAAGTGTAGTGTTTAATGTTGCAATAATTTTACTTACAAGAAGCTGTAATGTCAGGGTCATAAAAGGATTTTGACAGTTACCCAAATATTAAATTTTTTATTTCTTATATTACTTTTCTGACATGACAATTTGGAGGTTGTTGTACTTATCTGCGGCAAAACTGTTTTTTTTATGCTGCGACTTGAGAAAGATTTTTGCTGGAAGTGAATTCGAAGTTGTAAACTTTTTATGTTCTAGAGTCTAGATTATGATGTATTTGGTTGCGTCTTCAATGCAGATATCAAGGGACAAAGCAAGTGAAACAACAAACACAATCAGTCCGGGTTTCGATTTGGCAGCTGAGAAGTTGAGTAATAGCAGTGAGGAAGCATTGGCAATACCCGTTCCCGTTTCTGAAGCTAAAGAATCAAAAAGTGGCAGCAGTCTTCCTAATGACTTGGCTTACAATAGTAAGGTGGAGAAAAGAAGGATTACTTTTGATTTCAGATCTTTAGCAACTGTACCTGTTGCCAAAGAAGAGTGTCCTCAAAATGGCATATCTGAACGCCTTGAAACTGAAAATATTTCCACAGTTGACGACGTGACGACTAATATGCAGTTTGTTTCGAGCCAAGTTCAACACGATTCGTCACCTCTAACGGGAACCAGAGAGGATTGTTTCCAAAATGCCGTCCATGAATGTGGTCAAACTCAAAATATGTCCGTGGTTGAAGATGGAAGTGCCAACGCACAAATTGTTCCAAGTAACGCTCAACATGAAGTAGCGAGAGAGGAGGTTCCTCAAAATGGTGTCTGTACTTGCGTTGAAACTCCCAATACTTCATCGGTCAACGATGATACTTCCGGGTTGCAGAAAGTTTCGAGTTCTCTTCAACATGTCACGGCCAGAGAGGAGGGTCTGCCAAGTACTGACACATTATGTTGTGAAACTCCAGATACACCCATGGTTGTAGATGGGATATCCGGTTCACAGGTTGTTTCGGGCCATTTCCAATACGGTGTGGGAGAGTCCAGTTTCTCTGCGGCGGGGCCTTTGTCAGGTCGCATAAATTATTCCGGGCCTATACCTTATTCGGGCAGCATCTCTCTTCGATCAGACAGCAGCACAACCAGCACTCGTTCCTTTGCCTTCCCCGTGTAAATACTAGCAACCATCTTTCTAGTTCTTGATCCATATTTGGCTTTGAACATTTCAAATCAAAACGGTTTTTCTGTTCTTGGTCATGCAGATTACAGTCTGAATGGAACAGCAGTCCAGTTAGAATGGCAAAAGCCGACCGAAGACATTTCCGGAAACATAGGGGTTGGAGGCAAGGCATTCTATGCTGTAGATTCTAATTCCTTTGGTCCCCCATCTATATATATTTTTTTAAAGTCAAAATTTTCTTAATGTTATTTGATCATATTATTGCTATACACATCACCTCTCCCTGTGTATTGGTGTGTAATGTGCACTAGGTTTGCAGTTTCTTGCTTTTCTTATTCTTCTTCATCATCATCATCATCATGCCAGTAGTTGCGGTGTAAGCAATATTTTTTTACCCTTCCCATCTGCACCAATTTCCACAACCCATGTATGTCATCCATTGCTCAATTATCTTTACTGGTTTGCCCATAGTTTATAAATATACCTTACAATACTGCTTTGAGGGTGCCTCTTGTTCAAAAGAATCAAAACATCTAATAAGAAAACTCGCGTTTTATTTCAATGAATGTCGTAATAAAAGCACTTTTTTCCCTCCTTGTCAATTTTGAAGGGCTGGCCTCAATTGAATATCGACCCGTGTTATATATCAAGTAATTTTCTAAAGGGGAAAGAAGATAAATACTTAGCCCCTTAATATTCTTTTAGTGTAATAATTATATTTGTTAAAAGAGTATTAATCAAGAGTAACAGGTAAAAATTAAGATCTATGTATTCGTAAGTTAGTAATTTTCTCATCTCTCGAAACTGCCAGGGGTTTGTTGGTTTTTTTTTTTGGCTAATTGTCTACATGGTATTGGCTCTCTGTGATCATATCTTCAACAGTTCAGTCATGGTCAAATACTACCGAGAAAAATAAATCACTTATTTGTAAATTTCTTCCCAAGGGAATTTTGTCGTTCGGTAGGATCATATCAAATTTTGTACTACCTGAGATGAGAAAATTACTCTTTGGCTAATTGATCTATATAATTGTTCGTAAATAAATGTAAATATTAAACCCGCATTTGTTATAAATGCTTTCATATATTTATAAAATGCAAAAACTTAAAATTAGTTGTAAATAAATTTAAATGTTAGACCTGACTTTTAATTGATGCCTTCGTAAATTTATGAAATACAAAAAATTCTTTTGAGTTTAAGATATCTTTTAAATCTCACTAAATTACACAATTTTTTTTTTCTCTAACTAAACAACTAAGGGATAGTGGGGAAGGGAGAATATAAAGTAAATTTTAAATTCGAAAGGATATATCTATATTTCAAGAAAAAAGAAACGGAAGGCTTTTAATAATTTCCCGTTTACTTTGTCTGCACGGTTGGTTGAATATAATAGGGGGCGTTTGATAGAGGGATTCGTTCCCTGATTCGAATCATGATTCGTGGTTCTCTATAGTATTTTCTCTCACAAAAAATATACGTAAATCGAAAATGGTTCGAATCACATGATTTGAATCTTCCAATCAAACGAACCTTAGTATCATGAATGAACGATTTTAACCCACAAGTATTGCATTTGCATGTATAGAAAGAAAGGGGAAAGGATAAATAAAAACTGCATTCAGAACCCTTTCTGTGTAAGCAAACACATGTTGATTAAAGAACCAAAAGAAGACGAAAACGCGTTGTAGGAAAGACAATCGTACAAGAATAAAACGGAACATTACAATAGTTAATCCTGTTTCTATATCTAACTAGTATTTGATATGTCAACTTTTTTGTATTAATGTAACGACCTAAAATTGCCACGTGAGATTAGTTTAAGTAGTTAGATGGGTGCGCGTGCATCTATCAAGACTCGAATTATAATGCTTTTATTTTTTATTAATAAAAAGAGTTATAGACTTCACACTGTATAAGAGCATGTTTAGTAAAGAAATTTAAATCTCGGTTCAAATGGTTTTATTACAGTGTTTTATCAAGAAATCTTGACAAATATATCTTAAAAATACACGGGTCTTAATTTTTAGTCCTTAATCTTGATTAGTATTATTTTTAGTCAAATAACTATATTAACAAAAATGTACTAATCAAAGTACTAAAGGGTAAAAATCCAGATCTATTCACTTTTAAAGATAAATTCAGCAATTTTCTTTGTTTTTTCTCCAAAAAATTTGAATTTTATTTCAAACTATCTGATTTGAAGCGGGCCCTAAAAAATGTCACTACATACTTTGCTAGGTTGATTTATCAGAAATAGTAGAAAATAGGCCAATATGAAAAGTTTAAGAAAGTATATAGGCAAACTTTTAGTTATAGAAATTAATAGGCCATAACTTGTCAAGTTATGGTTCATAACTAGATAAGTTATAGACAAACTTGTCAAGTTATGGTTCATAGCCAGACAAGTTATGGACAAAAACCGTGAATAATGGACAATAACTTGTCTGGTTATGTTATGGTTCATAACCAGACAAGTTATGGACGAAAACAGTAATTTGGCCTATTTATTAACTTATGTAAACTATTAGCCTATTAATTTTAATTCATCTTAAGTCTTGGCCTATTTTCTTATTTCTCCCGTGATTTATTTGTCAATGATTTACACCCTAGAGTATTGGTTTTTCTATAGGTACTAATTTCGGATTGTGCCTACGACACTTTGTACTTTCAAGTAAAAAAAAAAAAAAAAAACACATTGTCCAAACATAGAGAAAAAAAAAGATTGAAGTAATAATTTTATTCATATTCTGTTAACATTAGTAATTGGCATAATCTTTTTAATATTCTGTGAAGAAAAATGTTAACATAAAAATAGAGTGTTAAGTAAATGTTGACTCCACTAATTGATATTCGTGTTAATATTAGCATTTACATAATATTATTAGTCAATTATAAGAATATTAATGTACCAAACAGTTAAAATTATTGGGTTTATGTTTAAAAATGAATATTAAAATTCAATTAATATTATCATAATATCCCAACCAATAAATATATTAGCAAATGCACTTTAAATGTATTAACATATCTAATATTTGATACATATATTAATATAATATAAAGTAATATTAATGTAAAAGATCAAATATATTAGCATAAAATATTATTAATATATTAACAGTATTAGAATAAAAAGTTGAACAATTGTATTCAAATTCAAAAAGCTACGCAAACAAGGTTACAGAAAATAAAATGAAACAATAAAATAATATAATGGTAGGAAAAGAGGTTAAAGTACTCATTTCATTACTCTTCATTTTCACTTCTTTATACATTGAAGCATGAGGTGTAAGAAAAATACCTAATCTATGTGGAGAAATCTTGACCATTGTATTTAAAATAAAAAAAAAGAATTGATTTGTGGTGACCATTGGATTAGAGGTTGAAGAACAAAACTCATTTCACATCATTCTCTCTTCTTTATATAGCTATAGATATATATAGATGCCCATCTTATCATTTTCTTTCGTGCTTACACATGTACCATAAATCAACTTACGAAATTGAATGCTTTTTTTTTTTTGTTTTTTGTTTTTCCGTTTGTGCTACATGAGCTGTAATGAGTGATGTTATTACATTTTAGGAGAACATTTTAGCTATGCGGAAGTAGGAATAATGTATGACAGAACCAAAACACGTCATATTGGAATTCTCCAATACCATTGGGTAGAAAGGATAAAGTTACTTTTGAGGATTATGTGTTTATGTGTATTGCAACATTGCAATACATAATAGAATTGCAACACATAATATGAGAATTGCTGGCAGTGGCAAGAGAAGAAACCAAGGGGTCCCACCGCTACTGTAGTAGATAACAAAAACAGCAACCTAAATAGTGTGATTTGTATGAATCTGACAAAAATCTTGTAAACTTTTTTTTTTTTTTTTCCTTCTCTCTCACTCCCATTTTTTTTTTTAATTATAAAGGAGTGAGGCCTTCTTAAAAGGGAATTTTAACAGTTTTCATCCACTTGTGTTGGAACTCTTCGCTTTGTGCTTTGTGTATGCTCTCTCTCTCTCTCTCTCTCTCTCTCTCTCTTCCGTTGATATAAATTCCAGCCTAAACCCATAAAATTAGTAAGTGTCTCATTGATCAAAGTCTTACTCACCTAAATTAGTACTAAATGGTGCGGTTAATGGCAGTACTCATCACTGTGATATGTATTCTCTTCTCTGCTTTGTTTACCCCATGCTCTTCCTTGCATATTCCATTGCTGCAGTCTTCTTCTAAACATGGTATATATCATCTCTCTCTCTCTCTCTCTGCAGTGGCTCTTTCCATACAATGGTAATAATGAAATCGTATCCTAAATAATGCTTTTGTGTTCTTCATCAGCAGCAAAAAATGAACTAGTGCAGCCTTCTGATGTACCTACATTCTCAAGGAAGCTTAGAATCAATGAAGAAGTTAGCGTAAGAAAATCCTTACCAAAAGCGCAGAAGAATCTTCTCATGCATATACACCAAATCATAACAATGTTTTTCATCTGAAAACCAGGTTGTAGGGCGGGCAATTTCAGACTCCAAGTCTAACAAGAAGAAAGACGTCCTAGGTGATCATTATTCATGAAAACACACACACACACACACACACACACATATACAAACACACACATACATACATATATATATATATATATACTTGTGCTTAGCGTACGTCTATGTAACTATATATATTATATATTAACGACCTCAAGTATATATTTACACAACTTCTCTTTCTGCTTACAAAGTCTATTCCTTCTTCTAGTAGCTCTTCTTCCTCTTCTTCTTGTGATGATGCTTGATCTTTTTAGTGAAACCATATTGTAGATTACTTCCCCTATACTAGTCCAGTTGATAAATATATGTGTATATATAAAATCTTGCTCTATAGGTACCGATAGTACTCTTTGCATTATAGTACGATCTAAATACATGAATTAATAATATCTTGATACTTGATAGACATAGGACTAAGATGATCTAGAGTTTAAGTGCGTATAGATATAGATATAGATATATACAGTACTTCTCCACTTGTACGTAGTCTCCTTATATATACACACACACACACACACACATTATATATTCCAAACCCAACGTTAAGTTCCTATTTTGTTGTGTACTATTTTATCGTTTCTTTTACCTCTAATAAACGAAACATGATCAACTTTTGTAGGCGACAAGCACCAAAATAAGGAACAAAAAGTGGTAGCGGTAGTGCATGGAAGCAAAGGGACATGGCAAGAATGGTCGACGGCGGAGGGAACCGGCGACGAATCAAATTTCTTCACCATGGACTATTCGCGAGTCAGACGACGGCGTCCCATACACAACAAGTCCGTCCCGGTTCGTGATCGTACTCCATGAAACCTGCCTTTTGCATAATATATATTTTAAAGATATTATGATCCAAAAAGTACTACTTTTGGAATACACTACAGTTTTCAAGATTAAAAAGAAATGTTGTTGTACGTAATATTAGGAAAACGAGGAATGTGTCGAGCTAAAAATTAATTAATTAGCTCACTTTTGTGGCCGACATTTTGCTAAATTTGCTACTAACTTTGACTCTACCAAACGCCTTTACTATGTCGGCATTTCTCAAGAATTGTTATGTTCTCATGTTATGTGTAGTAGATTTGAACTTTGTTGTTGGTACTTAGTACTAGTCAAATGAGGTTACAGAGCCCAACATGTTTCGAAACTGGGGTCTCACAAGTAACGAACGAATATTATTGTTTTTGGTGGTGGAACCCAATTATATATTAATGTAATGTGATAATTGAGATTGTAGTAAACAAGATTTGTTTGTGTTGTACTAAAAGTGGGTGTGTTTCGTTTTGTCCGTAGACACGATGCTTGTATTGCTTGCCGTACGTGTTGCACATGTACCTTGTCAGCCAGGGCGTTTAATCGAGAAAAAAAAAAACTTTGATCCATTTGTGAGGTTTTTGAACTTTATAAACAAAAAATTTGCACAAAACTAGGGATGTGAAAAAAATAAAAGTTATAAAAAAAGTCAATTCATTTACTACTAAAAGCGGAGCCATATCATCAATTATCAGTTCAACCTACTTAATTATTATGTGCGCCTAAAGGTCTCATATAACCTAATAACTTTAAATATTTAGTTGTGAACGCTTTTTTTCTATTATACTTTTAGTTTAGCGATAAATTCACACCCTTAGTTATGAGACAGATTTGCTTCTAAAGATTATTTTCTAAGACAAACAAATTATAAAATAATCTTGCTAAAAAAGTAGGTTTACCAAACTCCAATAATCATCTTACTGAAATTCTCCCAGAATCACTTTTATGGCCTACAAAAAATCAATCCCAAATTGTTATATATGCTAGGTGTCAAGATTGGTAGATGAGTAAAACCGTCAACGTAAAACATACAAGTTGGTAGAAATGTGTAAGTGATTTTCCATCTCTAGTATTGGTTATTAGTAGTCCTCTAACATATATTTCAATTGGGTACAGCCAGACTGCAGCCATCGGTGGCATAATTAGATCAATAGATATATAATTAACTAGATATGTATGCCTTTTAATGTTAATGGTGATATTTGCAATTCCCATCATGCAAATATATAGATATATATATAAATATATATATGTGTGTGTGTGTGTGTGTGTGTGTGTGTGTGTGTGTGTGTATCATAGTCACGTCTTGGTTGGTAATTGGGTGGAGGTCTTCTCGTGTGACCTAAATTGCATGATGGTAATGGAATATTACAGTAGTAATGCTATGTAAAGTACATGTCAGCATTCACATTAATCGAGTACAGCTCACCACTAATCTAATGTTTAAGACACTAATTAATGTAGAAAGGAGCATTTTCAATATGTGATTATAGGTACGATCATTCCCCTAAGGAAATTATGCCATATAATTAAAGTTTAGATTAAGTTTGCCGACTGAAATAATCTGACCAAATTCTCTATTCTCTCTTAACAAGATTAAGTTAACATATAATCTAACCATACTCAATAGTCAACATTCTTAATCATCATCAAGTATCAATTATTTTTAGCACATAATTAAGTAGAATAATCTAAAACTTGGCTATTTGATGATCCAACATATTGTACCCGCTATTTGCCACTGATTAAATTGATTGGAATACATCAGAGCGATAGTTAAACATCACTACTTTTATCATTATAAATTTTTTTTTTCTAATTAACTGGCTTGACATGGATACTATAACATGTTCGTGGGCATGAAATTTTGTTTTCATTTTCCCCAGAAGTTATTGGACGTAGAGTTTTGAAGTTCGCAATCAATCCGTTGTCTTCCACGTAGTAGTGAAAGCATATACCATGCATGTTTATTAATCGGATTAGCAGCAGCACCATAAACGATGTGATTTGCTTAAAAGCCAATAAATAATTGTTTGTTCGGGCGAAACTTTAATTTTGCATGAAATTTGTCGATATAGATATATAATAGAAGAAAGTAAAAGATTACACAGAAATAATTTATAAGAAGAAATTTAAAATGTAACTAATTTTTGAAACATTTTAAGAATAGCGTGATTTCGCAGTAGCTTTGTATATATAATAGTGATTTTTAAATTTTATATACTACATCAAATCATATAACAATTATTAATGATTCTATTTGTTTCTATTTGTACGAGATGACTAGCTAATAAGATTATGTTTTATATATATTTAAAATTTGTTTGGTAGAAATTTCTCATGATGATTGAAGTTCTGAAGGACGCCAACTTGGTTTTTAAGGATAAATTTTTCTCTCCAATTTTATTTAGCTTTTGCGACTCAGTCCCCGCAATGTAAACACGCACTGTTATTATTATTTTTTTTCGATTTTTATAAATTTCAATTTAAATATCTTCTTCATTTAAATTTTTTTTTTTTAAATCTTTCTATATGTGGTGCTTATCGCTGTATCGCCCCATAAATTTTAATTTTTTTTTAAAAAAGATAAATTTTCAAAATTTTTTTAGACGACTATAAATTTTATATTTTAACACTCAGCAATATAATGAAAAAGGTTGAAAAATGTCTTTTTGTATCATTTTTTTTATACTCAATTTCGGACAGTGAATCAGGTTGAAGTTTTCTCCAACAACAAAATTTTGAGATTTTTTTTTTCCAACTCAAGTCCTCTTAGCTTTTCATTCCTGTGAAAAGGCTCCTATTTGCTATTGATTGAAGAAAGTTTTGATTAAGAATATTCTTGATGGGAGAAAAACCAAGCCACCAACTTCAGAACTTGATACATATCTATTTCTTATAAAGATTTTCAAAACTTTTACACGCGTTGAGAATGTCATATTTTGAAGCTTAACTAAGGGTACAATGTGACAAAAACTATAATACAGGGTAAGTTTTTAAATTTGGTTCTATCTAGATCTTAGATGAAATTGAATGGAGTGGCCGGTGGTTAACACTTTCCAAACATGAGAAAAAAAAATAATATATGTTAAAATTTAGAGACACATAGCAATAAATTATAATTAATACATAGGTTCAGAAGGAATATATATATATATATATATATATATATATCCGAAGTTTTCTTTGATAGCTAGGTATCATAAAATTTTAGTAAATTAATATTCTTTTCCTGCTTACATACTACAGAAGTCCCCTAAAAGCTAATAGTCTCAGCGTTTGTCATTTTCATCCACCTCAAGGTAATGCCATTCATGGGTTATTTTCATTTCTTAAATAGTTCTCGATGTCATTGTCGTGTATGCGTTTATGATTTTAAGTTCGCTGTCATTTTAAGGGATTTGCCGTTTTTCTAAATGATGTCGTTCTTACGTTATCGTCGTTTCTTAGATAGTTGCCAAGTCGCTGTGGATGTTGCTGTCGTTTTTACTTATTGCTATTTCCCTGTTATTGTGGTTTGATGTTATTATCATTGCTTTTCTGTGCTTGTCACTTTTAGTTATTGCCCTTCATTATTTGATGCCATTTTTATTGTCGTTTTTTGAGTTATTATAGTTTCTTATTCCGATGCTTCATTTCTATTTTTTTTTTTACATGGCTGTTGCTTATCCAGTGCATGTCATTCCACGTTATTATCGTTTCTCGTGGTGGTTGTCTTTCAGCTCATATGGTTTTAGTGTTACCGCCGTTTCTTCTTTTGAATTTTCCATTTCTTGTCGTTCGTTTTCAGTTTTTCTCGTTTCATTATAGTTTTTCGTGTTTTGTTTTCGATGTCGTCCCCTTCTATTGTCAATTGTGATTTTCTTATTGGTGTCGTTTTTAGATTACATCTTGTTTGCTCTAATTGTCGTTTCTTATTTTGATGCCTTTTTAGCTTTTTAGTCGAAACAAAACGCAAAACGGCGCATTAAAATTCCTCGTGGCCCACACAATCTCAATGGGTATTGAAATTTTCATAAAAGAAATATATATAATTATATATAGAGAGCGAAACACGTTTTTTGATAATATTAAAATAATACATTAACATTTTTCAAAATATATTTTTAATATTTTAAATTTGGGTTTTAAGACATGCAATCTAAACTATCCATTAATTACATAGAAATTAATATTTTTTTTTTTAAAATCTAAAATATTTTAAAGAAAGCAACGAGATAAAAAATTTCATAATTTTTTTTAAGATTTATTAATTTTTGGCTAAGTAAATGAAAGGGTATTAAGGTTATTTACGTTTTAAAAATCAATTTCAAAGTATTAAGAATATATTTTTAAGAAATGTTGAGATACTAATTTAATATTATAAAAAAACATATCGCATAAAGAGTATGTTTAAATATAACAAGTATTAAAATGATTTTATCCCATATCATTTAATAGTGATTTTGGCAATTTAGGTAGGTAAAACGCTGTCCTATTTAAACAACTTCCTGTTAAGACCAAGGTACACAAGCATAAATATATGTTTAGTAGTGATTCTTAGAGCCTAAAATCAATTTTTTAATTATTCACAGCTGAAATTTATATTTAGTAAAAATCATAAAAAATAATTCTTAAAGAATTTTTGAAGAATTTATAGTCAAAATCAGAAACAGTTTAAAAATAATTTTAACTTTTAAATTTTACGATAATCACATTAAAATATAATTAATAAAATTTTTATAATACCTATAATACCTATAAAATCAATATTTATATAATTAAAATTTATTAAATATTCAATTACTTTTTATAACAGTTATTTTTTTCTCACAATAATAACAATTTTTTCTAAAATATACAATTACCAAACTGCCCTAATTCTCATATTCTCGAGCAAAAATAGTAACAGCCAAGCCAATCACCACCAACACCAAATCCAGAATTAGACAAAAAGTAAAACGAGCAACCGAGAAAGAAAGAAACAAAATCAAGAACAAGAATGGAGGATTTATGGAAGCGAGCGAAGAATTTCGCCGAGGAAGCGGCGAAGAAATCTCAGACCCTGAGGAACTCCTCCGTCAACATCTCCGACCTCGTCTCCGAGACCGCCCAGAGATCCAGGGAATTGGCCGCCGAGGCCTCCAAGAAGGCCGATCTCCTCAAGACGGCGGCGCTCAAGCAGGCCGATCAGATCAAGTCCTCCCTCTCATCCTCCGACATCATCGCCATTCCCCCTCAGCTCTCTCAGCTCTCCCTCGCCGCCACATTTCCGTCTTCCTCCGCGGCGGAGGCCTCGCCGTCGCCGTCGGACCTGCTCAAGTTCGGGATCACCGACGATCTCACCGACTTTGTCAAGGGACTCACTTCCACCACTTTCCAGAGCTTTCCTTTCCAAGGTCAGGTGATCGATTCGGTTCGCATTGCAATGCCGATCTGATTTTTCTTTTTTTTTTCTTTTTTAATTTTCAATTCTTTTGATGACACTGTAATTTCGCTGTTTTAGATGAACCGGAGAAGTCTGAACCGGATGCGCCGACGACGGCGTCGAATGTGAGGAAAGATCTGACGGAATGGCAGGAGAAACACGCTACTCTGGTCCTCACTACTGTTAAGGTCAATTTTCCCTCTTCTTCACTCTGCTACTCTTAAACTAGTCCAAATATAGTTTGATTCTTGTTTCTATCTTTATTTTGTTCTTCTTCTTCTTCTTTGTTTTCAATGGAAGATTTATTGCTTTTTGTTTTTGGTAGTTCGAATTTCTTGGAATGTACTCTTCTTGGATGATTCTTTACTTACAAAATAATTTTTGATCTCATCTTTTGAACCCCTTTATTGGATCTCATTGCTCGTCAAAGAAAATATGCCTTGAGTTGTTAATAATTTTATTATCTACTCATTTGTTTTCTTGGTTTGATCTTCGATTACGTAGAATAAAAAATTGCTAGTTCATTTTCTTTTTTAATATGCGATTGACTTCTGAATTCGATTTTCTAGTCCATGTTATATCGATTTAAAGCTTAAACGTGGATCGTGTGCACAACTAGTTTCTTTAACTTTGCAACTGGCTTTAGAATCTGAAGGCATTGCTCTTAAAAGACAAGTTGTTTCTGAAAATAATGAAGTATTTCCATAATTTGGCCAAAATGTGTGGCAGAGAGCTTTATCCATTAGGCGAAATGTGTTAAAAATTGTCAAGGATATAATTTGTGAAGGAATACCCTAGGGCATCAGTGTTTGTCACGGTTTAATTTTGTAGCAACAGGAAAGCTTATTCTAATTCTACAAAAAAAAAGAATGTAGTAACAGAGATATATTGTTTTATCTAAATTTTTATGTTTTACTTTTTTGTACTTAATCAGATGCTTCTGTTTTGCTTAAAAGAATGAGTTACTAATGTTCAACTAATTAGTAATTACTCTTTTGCAGCAAATTTCAAAGTTAAGATATGAATTGTGCCCACGTGTTATGAAAGAAAGGAGGTTCTGGAAGATATATTTCACTCTTGTTAACAGCTATGTTGCCCCGTAAGTAGTGGTTCACATCGGCAATTATATTAGCTTATGCAATTATGATCTAGCCCTGTTGAGATCTCATCGTCCAATTACACTAATGCCGTGTTATTGCTGGTTCAAGGCTGAACTATAATCTGAATCTATTGAACAATTTGCCAAGCTGGCTAAACAAATTTATAACACATTTGGAGACCTTCTTTGTTTGTCAATAGTTGTAAATAGATATGTAAAGGAATAGTCTAATAGACAAGACTATTAGATTTGGTATTCAGATGACGAGATAATGTCTATTTAATCGAAGTTTCTTGTTTATTTCAAACTTTGCCTCAATGTGTAGTCTCACTTAAATGGTTATGAATTACAATCAGATATGAGAAGCAATACATGGAGGAGGTTAAGCACAGAGAAGTGGAGCAAAAGAAAGACGATAACATGAATCAAACATCTGCAGTTGACAGAACTGACAAAGAAGAAGAAAAGGACAAGAACCTGAAGAATAAAACATCCAAGTCATCATCAGCTGAGCAGGACTTGGATACTTTCCTATTGGGAGATCTTGAAGACAGTGATGGGGGGCCTGGTATGAAGCTGATCCTTACGTGTTAATAATTGTGTCAAAGTTCCAAAATCCCTTGCCATTGTCATCGTAGTGTGAGAACATCAATTGGCAATGAACATTGTCACAATATGCCAACAGGCATATCTTATTGCCATCATCCAACTGGGTTTTGTTCATTCTTTCATTTCTCTTTTAATTCGTGGGTGTTGATTACAATACATTGTCTTCCAGATGATGGTGAAGAGAGCTTCGATGATGATTTCGACAAGATTGACAATTCAGTAAGTTAATCTTGTGATTAAACTTTTCCGCTAACATATATAACATATGATATATGATTTCTTTTAGCATCTTCAAGTTTAAAATCTTACCTTAAAACATTTCGTCCCAATTGTGTCACATTAACATGTATGCTTCCGCCTTATTCTACCAAGCTGCTCCTGCCAAATTTTTTCAGCAACTTAACAAACAAAATATGTTTGATAACTCTTTTTCGCTTTTCTACACACAATTATAGGATGTTGAAGATGAGAAGAATACGAAGAAATGAGAGCTGCTGTAGAGAGATTCTGTAGTAAAAGCAAAACTTATGTGGAAAGACCAAATGAAGTCCAGCAGTTGTTGATATCACACATCACAAGTTGAATTTGCTGTTTTGTCTTGTTTCAAATTTTGGCTACTTGGTACACGAAGTAGATGTCTTTTGAGCTTATTCGTTCATTTATATTTGCTATAAGCAAACAGGTTATAACCCCTGTTTGTCATAATCTTCAACCATATTCAAAACCAATTAGCTTGTCCTGTACAGCCTATTTAATTCCTTCGAAGAAAATATAGTTGTTTCACAATGTGACCTTTCTTAATTGTTGTGTCCATACTTTTTTTCTTGAAGTATATCTTTGTAGATTCCTTTTCGTTTTTCCTGAAAATAGAAAATCAATTTACAAGTCATTATACTACAGTCATGTCGAGCTTGGGCTACATTTTGTGTGTGTATGTGTGTGTGTGTGTGGATTGACCTTTTCATTAGGTATTTCTTTTCTTTAAAATACACGAAAACGTGAGTCTGCAATTTTTGACGTTTTAATTATGTTGAGTAAAAAAATTGTGATAAAAATATAAAGTGAGCTATAGACTAACAAACAAAATAACAAATAAAAAAAACCATGGCACTTTCGTTATCTTAATTAAGGTATCATTATGACAAAACTGGGGAAGTACCCTTCGAGACAAATACCGAGAGAGAGGAAGATACTTGGCTGCTCTGAAGATTAAGAGAGGAGGAATATATTGGCTTCGTTCACTTTGTAGATTTGAGATTCGAGCTGAGATGTTACATTTTCTGAGAGTTTTTCACTGTAACAGAAAAAGTTAAATATGATATTTTTTGAGAATTTTTTACTGTAAAAACCTAAAATTAAAAACTCGAATCGGTGAAATGAATGAGGCCTTGTGTTTTTGGTTGAGAGGGAGTCAAATACCTTAGGTTTTGTTGGTGTGACGCTGTGAAGATTGAGAAGAAGATTGAGAAAACTCTTGCAATATTAATTGGATATGCGCATAAATGGTCAAAAGGAAAGGAAAGGCGCAGGTATGGTGCTGAGAAAGATAGAAGGAAGATACTTTTGAAACGAAAATAAAAATAAATTAAATAATTGATTATAGTCTATAGACAATCAATTAAGGCTAAAAAAGAAAGTAAATATGTAGAATATTATGAGAAAAACAACCAGATTACATAGAATAAAAATTAACCATATATAGAACATACCCGAATGTAACCAATAAGAGTATATCCGGTAATATATATGTCTTAATCGATATTTTTGTAATATTGTATAATAATCGATATTTTTATAATTAGGACTTCAATAAAAGACATTTTATGTAATTAATTCTAACTAATTTCAATCAGGGTTCATTGGTAAATCAAATAATAAACCGGTTTATCAATGTAGTACTATTAAAAATTGCCATTTACCTTGCTAACAAAAAAAAAAAAAAGCCATTTACCTTTAAAAAAAAAAGTTCGGCCGTTAATTTAAAAGGGGCAGCCAAAATCGGCTATCCACCTAATTTTCCCAATTCCCGTGTTATTTATTCATGGAATACGAGAGTGAAAGCCTGATGAAATTTTGCCTAGTGTGGTTTAATATGTTTCGTTGTTCCTTAATTTGGTGGATATGGTAGTGTAAGTTTTTGGGATTAGCCGTTTGTTGTTACAAACTTGATCAGGTTGTACTATATAGACATTCCTGAAGGAAAGGAACAACCAGTTTTTTACAGGAGATCAGTAGATGAAGAAAGTAATTGGATCAAGACTGCTCTCGGCTATTTGAACCGGGAAGTCGGAAGAGGAAATTTTGCTCGACTGGAACGAAATTGAGGAGCAATATGGTGCAAGCTTTTTTCTATCTTCCTCACGAGATAAGGCCTAAGACCAAAATTTTCTTGCATACAAAGTTGATACTACGGGTAGTGAACGTTTCATGCTTCAAGTTATTGACCTCAGAACTGGATGTATTATTCCACAATTACTAGTTCGTGGCGTTTTTAGTTCGGAATGGGCTCACGATAGTTGTACATTATTCTATACTCAATCAGATGACAAGAAACAACCTTTTAGGTAATCATTGTGATACGACCCAGCCCATTTCCTTGACTCCACCAGAAGAGGGCCCTGAAACGGTTGAGACAGAGGAGGTGGGCCAGCCCAAGATAAAGAAACAGCGTCCAACACGAATTCGAAGGCCTCCAGCGTGGTTAGGGGATTATGTCGTCTGAAAGGGAAGAGTGTCGTTTGTGCGTGGTTAGGGGCGTTAGTCCTCGGGAGTGATGGAAGATCCTCCATCTTTTCTGTTTTCTCTTAGTATCAAATTGCTGTAATCAATTTCTGTTTTACGGGTAGTCTCGCCTCTTGCTCTGGGTTTATCGAGGAGAGGTATATGATATTGATTTTGGAACACCGTTCCGGTATGAATGAACTAGAAGAATTTTCTCATCTCCGATTCTCTTCCACTGTTCTCTTCCCATCTTCTTCTTCTTCTTCTTCTTTCGGTTACCTGTTGTTTTGGGAGCTGGCACTCGCTCGAAGAGTGTAGAATTGTGACTGACCGTGTTAATTGCAGGTTGGGCGTATCACATTGTTACTCACATTTGTTTTTTGTTTTTTTTTTTCCATGTGGATGAATATACTCTCTCAATTATTTATTTTTCACCAGGGTTCTATACTCCAAATTAGATTCAGATAATATGGACAGCATCCCTGTATTTACGGAAAGTGATTCCAGATCTTACATTGACATGACGAGCACAAAAGACCGCAAGTTCATAATTGTGAAATCAATCTCGAGGACTTCATGTTCAACAGAGGAAGTAAAGCAACTAACTGTTTGACCTTTTAAGATGGCAATCGCAGTAAAGAATTCTCTTTTGACATTTTACAGCTGAAATCAGGTTTATGTAATCGAAGCTGCAAAACCGTCAGGCGGTTTGAGAAAAATAGGTGAGCGTGTTTCTGGCGTGCGTTATTTTCCGGAGCATCCCAATGGTGTGTTGGTTATTTTCACAAATGCTCCTTTGCACGGAAATAAAGAGCGGTCCGGTGATAGTTATTATCTAGCTAAATGTCCTGTTGAAGATGTACAGTCAATTAATTGGCAGGTTAGTTTCTTACTTAATTGTGAGATGGATGTTTCCCGCTTAATATTTTCATTGGTGAATGACTTTAACATAGTTGCTAATCCTTTTTTTTTTTCTGATTCTTGATACTCTGTAGAGTACATCCTTCCACGTGAAGACTTTAGGATACAAGATATGGACATATATGATTAGACAAGCTAAAGCTTCTTATTTATTGAAGATAGTTACCAAGCAATAATTTAAATATTTAGATATTAGTAAATAGTCTGATTTTTGTATTTGGCCAACCATACCCTGAATCATCAATAATGAGATTTAAATTTCAGGTCTATTGTTCTATTTTAAATTACCAAGAATTGTTGCTTGGTTGCCTCTTAGATTCAGTTACTTGTTATGGAATGTGCAGGTGTCGGATGCGATTGCCAGTTATGACATGTTAATAGAAGTATTCTCAACCGAACAGCAAGAGGAAGCGAGGAGTTTTTCTTGTGAACAAGATGCAAAACAACTTTCTGACTCAGACGATGATTTGGAACAAGATGAGGAAGAAAATGCATATTGTCGTGAAACAAAGGAAGTTATTTCCCATGATGGTACCAGAGTTCCCTTGACTATTTTGTACTCCCGAACAGCCGGGCAGAAGGGTCAGTCCCGGTCTTTTGGAAGGATATGGAGCATGTGGCGAAGTTTTACATAGAAGCTTGCATACAAAACACCAGAGCTTACTTGATCGGGGTTGGGTGGTGGCATTTGCTGACATCAGGTAGTTTTTATGATTTTTAGTCTCAACAGAATGATAATATATTTCCAACTCGGAATGTGATGTATTTCCAAATATATAGTTAGGATAGCATGTTTGTTAGATAAGAACAAAGTTACTACCCGGTAACAAGTCGTGTGGTTGGGATGTTGGTCTCTCGCCCGCAGAGCGCCTGGTTTGCACTTAGTCATACAATAGGGGCTGAGTGTATAAACGCGTGTGACGTTCTTTCCCAGGCGTAAAGGAAAAAGTGAGCTACTTTGTTCATATGATTACAATCAAAATATAATAATAAAACTCCATTTTCTTTTTTGGTTTCCACAGCAACATCTGAATGTTTATGCAATACTTTGAAAAGGGAAGAAAAGAGGGTTGGATATAATCATTATTTACTGCCAAGATCAATATAGATTATGCATATGACTGATGGCTGCTTTCTCATACGAAACAAAATGTGCGTGGTGTTGCCTCTGAGACGTTATATTTCTAACTTATTCAACTTGGTTTACATGGACAGAGGTGGTTGTATTAGCGAGGATAGTTCATGGCATAAATCTGGGTGCGGGTTGTATAAACAAAACTCAATAGATGATTTTGTCTCATGTGCAAACTACCTGATTCGTGAGAACTTTTTACATAGACATCAGCTCAGTTGGATTGGATATAGTGCAGGAGCTATTCTTTTGGGAGCAGCTATGAACATGTTGCCAGATCTGTTTCATGCTGCGATTTTGAGGTTAATCTCTTTCTCGAAAGTAAAAACATCTACTATCTGATTTAGTGAAATCCTGATGTTTGGTAAAGTTTTTACCAGGTTCCATTTCTTGATGTACGCAACACTTTGTTGGATGATACTTTGTCTCACTCAACTTCGAAGTCTACTGAAGAATTTGGAGATCCTCAAATAAAGTCGCAGTTCGAGTTTACCCGAAGCTACTCGCCTTATGGTAATATCTCTGAAGGAAGTTGTTACCCTTCTATGCTTGTCACAGCATCTCTAAATGACTCGAGGCAAATTCCTTCCCAGTGCTTGCTCTCACTCTTGTAATTGCAAGCAAGGAAAAATGCTTCTAGATATTTTGTTCTTTACTAGCTTATTCCCAATGTTGATTCACTGTGAGATTTCAAGAACTTGCAGTCAAATTATTCACTCATATTATCTCGTTGTTTCTCAGGGTTGGTATTTGGGAAGCTGCAAAATGGGTAGCCAAAGTTCGGGAGAGTAGATGTCATGCATGTTCTGGTCCAGTTATTCTGAAGACCAGTATGATTGGAGGACATTCTGGGGAAAAATGGCCGCTATGAACACTGCGAGGAAACTGCTTATGACTACGCGTTTCTGTTAAAAGCAATGGGAATGTTGAATGATAACGAATAAGCCTTTCTGATTTTGGATAGTCATTCTTTGAACAAAATTAGTTGTGCTTTTTTGCTGATTGTGCCAGATAAGAGTGAAGTTTTCCTCTTGTAATTACTGGTGGGTAAAGGATAAGTACTGCTCTAGAGGGATCATAATTATTTGTTAAATAACAATTCAACCGCACTATTAGTTACTGAAAGAAGTATGATGATGATTATAATTGTCTCCACTTAGCGAATGCTAAAAAATGTAACATTATGAGTGCGTTTAAAACTCGTTCTAAAATGATTTTATTTTTTTATATGAAAATGGAAATAAAATTATTTTCAATCTCAGACAAAAATCATTTTTAAAAATGTGTTTGATAGTTTAATCAAAAGATTATTTTCAGAATAAAAAAAAAGCAATTAATGTCTCCTCTCTCAGAAAACGAAAATAAAAAATGAAAAACAACTAAAAATCATTTTTTATTTCTCTTCCATTTTACACTAAATTAAAAAATTATTTTTATTTTCGTCTTTTTATCTTTAATTATGTCAAACGTCGTTTCTCTCTCATTTTTATTTTTTTATTCTAAAAAAATATGAAAAACAAAAACAAAACTAACTTCAAACACGGCATATATATTCTCTCTATTCATCCTTACATGCAAAGCACGTGGTTCCACTAGTATGCTAAATGCGAGATGGGAATCCTCTTCCTCTACTTGGTGTTCACAATGATCATTCAATTTAAGACTCAGAGTCGGGGAATTGAAAAAAATTATATTACTGTTTTAAATTGAGAACATGCATTTTTATCATCAATTTAACACATGTCAATCATCACTAAAATGGTTATCTCAACAATTTTGCAAATTAAGGGGGTAAATTGTTAATAGAAGTTCAGGAGGAAGTTGATAAAACCAACAAATTTAGGGGAATAAATGTGTAAAAGACCCAACTTTGGTTACTTATGAACTCCACCAATCCTAAGCAGTACAATCCCTACTTTTTAGATTAAAAAAGTTGTATTTTGAGATGTTAGAATTTTTTATTGTACATACATTTTCGTCATTAATTTAACGCCGCATCATTGAAATGAGAGACACTATAACAAATTTCAGAATTAGAAGCTCAGGGGCAAGTTAACGAAACGCCATAAATTCAGGGGACAAATCTGCAACAGACACTCTTTTCATTTTTGTTTTATTTTATTAATTATTATTGTATTTTTTTATTTTTAAGAATGAACTCCACCATTCCAACGCATAAGTGGAACAATCCGTCTACCTTCCAGTTCCAGTTTCCAGGTTCCATGGCATGGTCATGATGGGACTTCCAGCTCTCTTTCGCCCCAAGTTGTCCATCAAAACGACGTCCTTTTCCTTGCCGTTTTACTTCTTCTCTGACGCATTCTCTTCAAGATTCTCGTCTTTCTGCAGACGCCGCCACTTCCCACAACCCAAACAAGTTTCTCTTCCTCCTCCTCCAATCCCTAAGAAAATCCCATTCCAAGTCTCGGCTCACGGAATTACGTGGCAAGACCCTTACCATTGGATGTCCAACACCAACGACCCTGATCTTTCCGACTACCTCCGCCGAGAAAACTCGTACGCTGAAGCTTTCATGGCTGACACCCACAAGCTGCAACGCAAACTCTTCTCTGAGATGACTAGTCGAATGCCCGCCAAAATTTCCACTCCTCCTGAGCGTTGGGGGCCCTGGTTTGCTCATTTCCCTCGTGCCCATTTCACGTTTTTGCCAAATTTTCTGTCTTTCTTTTATAGTGTGTTCTAGATTGCTCTCGTTTTATTGAAGTTTCTCATTTTCATGTTTTTGGCAAATTTTCTGTCTTTTATATTGTGGTCTAGATTGTTCTTGTTTTGTTTGAACTTGCTCTTTCAAGCTGCCTTTTTTTGTTCTTTTGTGTACCAAAAGCCGAAACTTTTTGTTGTAGTTATACTGTTTAGTTATAATGGAGGATTTATGGCTTATGCTAAGCTATGGAAATTATAGTTAAGTTGGTTGTAAATATATATATGGTACATTGTGAATTCCAAAGTGAACGCCTCTGTGATTATGTAGAATTTGTGTCGTTATTTATTTATTGAATAGGGGATTGAAAGTCTGATAACATTTTTCCATGTGTGGTTAAATATTTTTTATTGTTTCTTGCGTTGCTTTGGTATTGGAAGTTTTTGGAATTAACTAGTTGTGCCAAACTTGTTCAGGTTGTACTACCAATTCATTCCTGAAGGGAAGGAATACCCAGTTCTTTATAGAAGATCAGGAGTTGAGGAAAGTAATTGGGTAAAGACCATTCTCCGCTATGCGAAGCGGGATGTTGGAAGAGAGGAAATTTTGCTTGACTGGAATGAAATTGCAGAGCAATATGGTGCGAGACTTTTTCTTACTTCTTTGTTAGATAAGGGCATTACCCTTTATTTTTCCTTTTTTAAAGTTGTATGTGCATGTATGATTATAGGTTATGTGCATGTGGGGACTTGTCGAGTGTCGCCGGACCACAATTATCTTGCATACACACTTGATGTTACTGGTAGTGAACAGTTCATGCTTCAAGTTAAGGACCTCAGAAGTGGGTGTATTATTCCAAAATTACAAGTTCATAGAGTTGTTAGTTTAGCATGGGCTCAGGATAGTAATACATTATTCTACACTTTATCAGATGACAACCAACGACCTTTCAGGTAATAATCGTTACTTGCAACGCTTCTTTTTTTCTCGTGTGGGTGAAGACGGTCTCTCAATTTTTGGGTTTTCACCAGGGTTCTCTACTCAAAAGTAGAATCCAATGATACAGACGGCATCCCTTTATTTACAGAAAGTGATTCTAGCTTTTGCATTGACATGACGAGCACAAAAGACGGCAAGTTCATAACTGTGAATTCAAACTCAAGGACTTCATCAGAGGAAGGAAAATGAAAACTAACTACGGTCTTTTAAATTATGAATTACAGTAAAGAATTTTCTTTTGACATAGTACTGCTGAAATTACAGGTTTATATAATAGAAGCTGCCAACCCATCTGGTGGTTTGCAAAAAATACGTGAGCGCGTTTCTGGTGTGCAGTACTTTCTGGAGCATCACCATGGTGTGTTTTATATTCTTACAAATGTTCCTTTGTGCGGAAATAAAGAGTGGTCTGGTGAGAATTATTACCTGGTTAGATGCCCTGTTGAAGATATACAGTCAGTTAATTGGCAGGTCAGATTCGTACCTCATTTTAAGATTGATTTGCGTGCTTTTCATGTAGTCATCAGCAAATTTCTTTAGCGTAGTTGCTAATCCTTTTTTTCGTCCTGGATACTTCTGTAGAATATCATCCTTCCACGTAAAGACTTTACCATACAAGACATGGACATTTTCGATGGATTTCTAGTGCTTTTTCTCAGTAAGAAGGGTAATCCCACCTTCTGTTCCATCAATTTGCCTGTCAATATTGAGTGCGAGGTATTTGGATTCTGTTTCTTTTTTTTTTCCTTTTTTTTTTTTTGACCTTTTTGAAAATTCTAGTCAGATTTTGCGCTATTTTGTAGCACAAGATTCTCCATTCTCAATCCCAAAAATTAAAGAAAAGAAAAGAACCCAAATATTTTTAGTCTACCTCTAGTCCTAAGATATAGAAATGCAAGTATATTAGTATTTACTTGTTATTTCTTTTGTTTTGCAGCACCAATTGGAGATTGGGGAACTCAATCCCTGGTTTTTCCCTTTGCCCTCTAGTTCATGTGCTGTCACTCCCGGTTCAAACCATGACTTCATGACGTCAATATTCCATGTGGTGCTTTCATCTCCTGTGGTAACTATAGAGCACAACGACACTTTCTAGTCAGTATGCAGAAAAAAAAGTGTTTTCCATTTAGCTTACCATTCGGAAATTGTAAATAGTCAGAAGTTTATATTTGGCTGACCATACCATGAATAATCAGGAATGCGATTATATAGTCTATTTTTCTTCTTTAAGTTACTAAGAAATTACTTTTGCTTGCTCACCTTTTAGATTCCGTTTCTTATGGAATGTGCAGATGCCGGATATAATTGTCAATTATGACATGTCAAAAAGAAGATTCTCAATTGTACAGCAAGAGGAAGTGACAGGTGTTTCTTGTGAACAAGATACAGAACCGATTTTTGGCTCAAACCATGATAAGGAAGAAAATGTCCAGTATAACGAATCGCAGAGGTGGAAGGACTTTTCTAATTCATACTGTTGTGAAACAAAGGAAGTTATTTCCCAAGATGGTACCAGAGTTCCTTTGACTATTTTGTACTCTCGAACTGCCTGGCAGAAGGGTCAGTCCCCTGGTCTTTTGCAAGGTTATGGAGCATATGGAGAAGTTTTAGATAAAAGCTGGTGTACACATCGATTGAGCCTACTTGATCGGGGTTGGGTGGTGGCATTTGCTGACGTCAGGTAGTTTTTATCATTTTGAGTCTCAACAGAATCAGATTATACAACTAGGACTGTGATATACTTTAAAATATATAGAGATGATTGCATGTTTGTTTGAGAATGCAACAAAGTTAACCACCCTGTAACAAGTGGTGTAATTAGGGTGCTTGTCTCCTCGCCAAAAGAGAGCTTGGTTTCAGTTACTCCCACAATAGTGGTCCGTTGTACTGCATGCACAAACATGTGTGGTACTCGCAGGGCCTGTCTAGTGTCCCGGTGTTTGGTGAAATGCCTCTCTTTTTCTCCCAAACCTTTTAGAGTTTTAGCTCCCTACCAAAAAAAAAAAAAAAAAAAACAAAAGCTAAAACCAATGCATTCACTTGATTATTGGTCTATCCAAATACGACAGAACTCCATATTCGTGTTAGGTTTCAGCACCTGAATGTTTATGCTGTACTCTGTCAAAAAAGAAAAAAAAAAAAAAAGAAGCTTTTATTAAGTATCTACTGCTAAGATCCATATTGTATATGGCGTTGCTTCTGAGACGTTATATATTTAACTTATAAAACATGGTTTACATTGGACAGAGGTGGTGGTGGGGATAGTTCATGGCATAAATCTGGGAGCGGGTTGTATAAACAAAACTCGATAGATGATTTCGTCTCATGTGCAAACTACCTCATTAGTGAGAACTTTGTACATAGACATCTGCTCAGTACGATTGGATATAGTGCAGGGTCTCTTCTTTTGGGAGCAGCTATCAACATGTGCCCAGATCTGTTTCGTGCTGCGATTTTGAAGGTTTATCTCTTTCTGTAAAATAGAAATGTTTACAGCCTTTATTTACTTTCCTGATGTAGTTGAAGTCCTGATGTTTGGTAATTGTTCTATCAGGTTCCATTTCTTGATATATGCAACACTTTGTTGGATGATAATTTGCCTCTCACCGTGCTGGATTATGAAGAATTTGGAAATCCTCAGATAGAATCGCAGTTCGAGTGTATCCACAGCTACTCGCCTTATGATAACATCTCTAAAGGAAGTTGTTACCCTCCAATGCTTGTCACAACGTCTCTTAATGACTCAAGGCAAATTCCTTCCCAGTGCTTTCTATCACTTTTGTAATTGCAAGCAAGGAAAAATACTTCTAGATATTTGTTCTATACACTAGCTCATTCCTATTGTTTATTCACAGTGAAATTTCAAGAACTAAGAACTTGAATTCTTGTTATTCACACTCATATTAGCTATTGATATTGTTTCTCAGGGTTGGTGTTTGGGAAGCTGCAAAGTGGGTGGCCAGAGTCCGGGAGAGTACATGTCATGCTTGTTCTGGTTCAGTTATTCTGAAGACAAATATGAGCGGAGGGCATTTTGGTGAAGGCGGTCGCTACGCGCAGTGTGGGGAAACTGCTTATGAGTATGCTTTTCTGTTAAAAGCAATGGGGATGTCAAATGATGATAAATAAGCCATTCTAGTTTTGACAGTCGATTCTTCAATAAAGTTGGTTTTGATTCTTTGCTTTATTACGCAGATAAGACTGCAAATTTCGTTTTGTGATCTCTGGTGTGAAAAGGATAAATAATTCTCTGGAGCGATCAATATCTGTTTAAGAGTAGCGCCAGAGACACTAACTCTAACGACAATTTCGTACAAACTATCTTTTCATTGGTGAATTGAATCTCTTGATATTAACTAACGTGATAATCTTTTAAACACCTACCAAAAAAGCATAAATAGTCAAAGTTAGTAAAAAAGTTAACTGACCATGTAACCACACTAATAGTTAAAGAAGTATGATGGTGGTATTAATAATTGTTTCCACCGGAAGAGTCTAGCTGTAAAATATGTGAACCCCATCTGGTTCTGGTGTTGAACATGACTACAGAAATAAGAACTGGCATTTCAATCTTTAATTTTGTATTACTGGGAACGTTTAAATTAGACTTGATATGAAAGTAAAGGATAATCACAAACCTTGTGTGTTTGATCATGATTGGAAGAATTTACATTTAATTTTTATCCTAAGATTTTTCAAGATTTGTGTGCTTCGATACTGATACTGCTTGTGACACCTTGACCTGATGTCGTGATGCCGCAATGCGTAGAAGATGTTAGCATCATAAGCATGCAAGGCCTCAAAATAATAGTAGTAGTAGTACAATGCGTAGAAGATGTTAGCATCATAAGCATGCAAGGCCTCAATCAAAATAGTAGTAGTAGTAGATGTTAGCATCATAAGCATGCAAGACCTCAAAATAATAGTAGTAGTAGTACAATGCGTAGAAGATGTTAGCATCATAAGCATGCAAGGCCTCAATCAAAATAGTAGTAGTAGTAGTAGGTAGTATTATATATTTATTAATCTCAAAACTGACTAACAAAAACAATAATAATCCTTCAAATAAACTAAGCATCCAAATCTTTGAGCTTTTAGATACACATAGGTTTGGTATTGCTTTTTGCTCCCAAAATCAGCTTCTGTTTGTAGCAAAAGCTTATTTTAGTATTTAATAAATCTCTTTAAAAGTTCTTTTTAAAGAATTTTTGAAGAATCTACAGCCAAAATTAGAAGAAGTCCAAAAGCAACTTTAATTTTTAGATTGTGCGAGAATCAATATAGTACAATTAATGAAACTTTTATAATACTCATAATACCCCTAATAAAATTAAAAATTTACGATCTTTCCAATCTAAAATTCAGACTCGAAATGTAATATAATATAATAATATAATAATATAATATAATATCATAATTATATTAATAACTCTAATATTATTATTTTATCATATAATATGATATTATAATAATAATATAATATAATATAATATAATATAATATAGTTATAATTTTTAATTATAATATAATTGAAATATTATTATTTCTTTTGTAATATTATAATATGTTTTATAATATTGTAATTATATTAATCATTTTAATAATATTAATATATTCTATATCATTATTATATAATATATTATTTAATAATAGTTTTATTGTATTACATTAAATATAATAATAAATATACATTATATTGTAATTCTATATTATTTTATAGTATAATATAATATAATCTAATCGTAATTTTTAATTATTTCAGTTTATTATTTTAATAATATTATTATATTCTATATTATAATTATATAATTTATTATATAATAATAGTTTTTATTATATTAAATATAATAATAAATATATATTATATTGTAATTATATATATATTATATTATAGTATAATATAATATAATCGTAATTTTTAACCATCCACAGTAATTCAACTTCATAATTTATCAAACGCTATTCCACTGATTTTAGAATCAGTAAAGCTATTATAATTATAATTTATCAAACATTCAGCTGCTTTTTATAACAGTTGTTTCTTCCTTCTGCATAGCAAAAAGTAATTTTTTCCAAAATTCACAGCACTACCAAACTAATAATAATACTCAAAAGCGTCCATAGAACCACAGTAATTCAACTTCATAATTTATCAAACGCTATTCCACTGATTTTAGAATCAGTAAAGCTATTATAATTATAATTTATCAAACATTCAGCTGCTTTTTATAACAGTTGTTTCTTCCTTCTGCATAGCAAAAAGTAATTTTTTCCAAAATTCACAGCACTACCAAACTAATAATAATACTCAAAAGCGTCCATAGAACTTTCACCAAAAAAAAAAAAAAAAAGAAGAACGTATAGACTCTATGATATCACAAATCAGTGAACGATCCAATCACCCATGAAAACTAATCAAGCAACATTGATCTCATCTACTATTTTCTTCCAAGATTTGAGAGGGAAAAAATGAAAAGGAGCTCAAGAACCCAATAAGTAACCAACAATCAGTTCTTATTAATTGTTGTATCGAACATATGCTAATAAATCATTTGATAAAATAAAACTATCGAAAATCGTGAGTCAAATATCATTTTTTTAAGGAAAAAAAAAAAACATTGCTTATTAGTGAACACTTAAACAAAATAAGCATCTTTATTTATCATTAGATCAGGATTGGACTAAATACAATTATGTTCAATTCTATCTTGTGTTTGATAAAATGTCAGATTAGACTTTCGAAAAAGCAATTAATTTTTGGTGCATTATTCTACTTAAGTATATTCATATTTTAAATTTAAAATTCTTTTCTGAAAAAAATACTTCAAACTTAAAAATTTCAGGCAAAGAAAAATCAAGCATATTACTATATAATGTTGTAGACTTTAAACTTTAAAGAGTAAATTAAACTTAAGTGCGCTTGGTTATTCTAAAGAAGAAAGAAACGATACCAATAGGTAAAGAAAAAATAAAAGAAAGAGACAATTTTTTTTTTTAAATCCCACTTGCATATCTATTAAATATCTATGTATGTGTGTGTGTATATATATATTTACTAATTAATGTGTATAATTCCACTTGCGTGCGACAGCAGTATAAAACGTGGTGATATTTTATTAATTTTTTAGTTTTCTCTTTCCGTACAGGTTTTCAATCTTAATTTTAGAATTTGTCACTCAATAATAAATCCTATCAGTGTCAAATAATTATTGGGGTTAAGCCATCTATTTTAGCAATTATCTCTTTCCTTTTCCTTTTGCCAGGAAAAAAAAAAAAAAAAAGAAAGAAGAATGGTATGAGTAACATATCAAAATTCGTATCCTTTATTTTCTTTTAATCTATCCCCTTCAATAATTTTATTTCTCTGGTCATTTTTCTAAGACTTATGAAGCAATGAACCATTGCCCAGCTAGCATAAAAGCTAATCTAAACCCCCTATGTTTTGCCTTTATTCAACTTTCACCCTTATATTTCTATTTTTAGAATTCCAAAACTTATCTTTAGCAAGTTTGCCCCTCGAATGTTTTGGGTTTGATAACTTGCCATCCGAACTTTTAATTTAACATTTATCCCCTCAATTTAGAAAATTATAGCAATGTTCCCCAAGTTTCACTTCAAATCTTAACAACAATCTCTCAAATCTCCAATCAACCCCGAACTTAACCCAAGAAAGATAAAAATAAGCACATTTCAACAATTTAGCAAGTTGAAAGTGTAAAATATAAAACTTGAAAGTTTAAGAGGCAAGTGATTAAAATCCAAAAAGTTGAGGAAATCCAAGAAGTCATTGGGGGAAGGGGCAAAAAAACTACTTAAACGCCATGTATTTTACAAATGTCCGAAAAGTCCCCTGGCTATTATCAAATTTGCGGGTTAAAAAAAGCCTTTTAACCAGAGAAATAAAGGGTGCGTTTGAAATTAATTTTTACTTATTTTTGATAACATTTTTACACGTTTTTTGAGGCCTAAAAATGAAAATGGTCTGCAAATCGTGTTTGTTTAGCAAATGTTTTGAAAACGAAAACAAAAACAAAAAACTATTAAAAGGGTTTTTGTGAAGGAATTAGAAAACAATTGAAAATTATTTTTTCTTTTTTGTTTTCATTTTCTAGTACTTATCAACAATGTTATAATATATTAATCAATAATTATAACCAAACATGATATCACTTTTTTATTATACTCAAAACAATCTCTTAAAAAACTAACCAAACGCAATTTTAGAATCGGTCCCAGAATGATTCTCAAAACAATCTCATTTTTACTTTTGTATTGACAATAAAATCATTTTAAAAACGTTACCAAACGGACCCTTTAAGTGAATCTTCATTTTCATATTTTTCAAACAGTTCTTAATTTTTGGAAGCATATGGGTAAAAAAAAACATTTATAATGCACATTATTCACACTAAACTCATCAGGATTTCAGTTGTAATCGTAATACATTTCCTAAATCCTAATTACGCTACATTGATTAAGAGATAATTTGTCTACCTTTACTTAGATTTCTAATTAATTAATGTGTCTTATCTATGAATAAATAAATAAATAAATAAATAAAAATCAGCCTACCAGTATAGTTTGTTAATTTTGACAGGCCGTGGTACATATTGGTAGGACTTAATTTTCTTAGCGTCAAGAAATTTAGGGCTTGTGTCAACTTTTTAATATTAAAAAAGAGATTAAACAGCACGTAAAGGGAAATTCATGGCTTAATGTTTGCGTACATAACTTTATTTCTTTATTTAGCAAACGATAGGTGTAGTTTTCTCTTTTCTGTGATTCCCAACTAGGTGTATTTATTTAATTAATTATTTCTTATTTATTTTTTAAGGAAATCTTGTTCCATAGGTCATTATTTTGTATATATGTCATATAATTAAAGTTGTCTTGGGTCCCATTCATTGCTCCATAAAAAGAAATCAATTTGTATCTGATCAGAGCCCCCTTTATTGTTATATATTTTCCCTTCTTTTTATATAAACCCTTTCTTCTTATGCTATTTTTGCATGCAAACAAGCAAAGTGTTCTAAACCAGCTTTCCAGAAATACATCCCCGGAATCTGGTCTCTAGAAACACATATTTTATCTTCATATATTATCCAAACATATATATATATATATATATATATACGAATATGGAATATAATCATAACAAGGATGGTTTTAGGGACTCAGAGGAGGAGAAGGACAAGCCGTACAGTAAGATTAAGTATGCAGGAGGTGTGAAAGCTGAGATACTGAAGGGGTTGATTCTGCGAGGGATGAAAGGCGAAAAACTGAAGAGTTTGATCAATGGAAACATCAAAGAAGAGAAGATGATCAAGAGAATGGTTATTGCCAAGTCATGGTTAGCGAGGTCCAAACTCTGGGCTGTTAGACTCACCACCATGGTCCTCATGTGGGCTATTGTCATGCAGCTCAAAGCACTCTTTGCTTCCTTTGGAATCAAATTTGCCGGCAATCCTTTTCCTCCTGCAAGTAAGTAACATGTAGGCCACATGTAAGAAAAGGGTTAGTTTCAAATTTAGCTTCGGAAGAATAAAAGTTGGCTAACTTTACAACTTAAAATAAAATGAAATTCACATAAGTTGTAACTTTAATAATTCTTTTATTAAGGCTATTAATTTTTTTTAATGCTTTTAATCATATCTGAGTCACATAATTGGTTGGGAATGAATGAGCCATTTTTTTTTAACGATTTTTATCACTTATGGTCACCTAAGGAGCAAATGTGATTAAAACAGTTAAAAAATTAACGTCTCAATAACAAAAGCATCAAAATTGCAATTTACGATAAATTTGGAAAGAATTTTGTGTCATTTTAAGTTTAAGGGATAAATGAGACAACTCCTATTTTTTGGGAGCCAATTTTAAAATCAACTATAAAAATGCTTCTAATCGATTCCGGTGAAAGTGGTGTTGTGATTTGAATATAGAAACGTGTAGTATCTTAACGCCTGTATATATTACCTTTTAGTGTTTCATTAAAAAAAAAATATGGGGCTTCACAAAAAATACAATGGACCCCACAAAGAGTTTACATTGAGAATCACCTTGTATCTCTTTATGAAGCGAGAGTTTATAAATAGATGTGATCTTATCTATATATTGTCTTGTTCAGGAATTTACCAAAACAGTGGGTATCTTACGGTTTCATCTAATGGAGGATTGAATCAAATGCGATCTGGTGTAAGTAGTAATCAATTCGCCTTTCTTTTTACAACTTATTTTTCCTTTTCAAGCGTGGACAGAAACTTGTTATATCCTGTTCTATGATTTATTTATTTTTTCTACAAGATATGTGACATGGTAGCTGTTGCAAGATATCTAAATGCGACCCTTATTGTTCCTGAGTTGGACAATACCTCTTTTTGGAATGATTATAGGTAAAGTCAATATCTAGTGTTATTATTTTCTCTAGTTGTACCAATAATTGGCCTTAATTAGTTGTATCTTTATGCCATCAGATTTGGAGGTAAAAATTTTCTGATCTGTTTTTGATTTTGATAATTTGAGATCAGTCAATTTGCGGATATATTCGACGTGGATTATTTCATTGGATCTTTAAGAGACGAGGTTCGGATATTGAAAGAACTGCCTCCTGAGCAGAAGGCAAAAATAGAAAGGGACTCACTTTATTCCATGCCTCCCATAAGTTGGTCCAACATGGCATACTACTATAATGTGGTAAGTAACAATTTCTTAAAAGACACATTTTAAAGACAAGTCCGGTCCTTTTATGGTGTCTTCAAGGCACCCATGACGGCATATAAGTCCATCGTTACTTTTAACTTTCTCGATTTAAAATTCGTAAGCATAACCTTTAAATACGCAAGTTATTGTATTCCTTTAAATTTGCGCAAGCAAGCCTATTGAAACTAATACAATTCTAATGTTCAAATTCTGCAAGTTTCAATGTAAAAAATGTGCAAATTTTCGTATGCCCAATATCATTATCGAAAATTCTTCTCCCTAACACTAGACAAGTCTATTTTTAACGGTTTTTCTTTGATCCGCAGATCCTACCTCGCTTGCACACATATGAAATTGTGCATTTCACTAAAACTGATGCTAGGCTTGCTAATAATGGGATCCCCGACGAGGTTCAAAAACTGCGCTGCCGTGCAAATTACCACGCTCTGAGATTGGCACCTCCAATTGAGGCTTTGGCGAAGAAAATCGTTGGGATTCTTAGGGAAAAGGGCCCTTTCTTAGTCCTTCATCTTCGGTACGAAATGGACATGGTGGCATTCTCCGGGTGCAACGAAGGTTGCAATGAAGAAGAGATCGATGCGTTGACAAAAATGAGGTGCACGAGTTGCCTTGAATTACAAGTAACAATACAATAATTATCATAACGCACTAATTAATTTCTTTTTTTTTGTTTATTAAGATATGCTTATCCATGGTGGAAAGAGAAGGAAATAGATTCCGTAGCGAAAAGAAAAGCCGGACTCTGCCCTCTTACTCCGGAGGAAACTGCACTGACATTGCGCGCCTTGGACATTGACCGGAACATCCAGGTCTACATTGCTGCTGGAGAAATTTACAAGGCAGAAAAGAGAATGAAAGCTCTTAAAGAAGCTTTTCCAAACTTGGTATTTACCAACTTGAGAACTAGACATATATTATATGGATTTTTTTTTTTTCCCTTGTAATTCTGTTTTTGAGCCTTCTCTATTGTGTTAAACAGGTTAGGAAGGAGACATTGTTGCCACCCTCAGACTTGGATCCATTCCGAAACCATTCGAACCGTATGGCGGCGTTAGATTATTACGTCTCCATAGAAAGTGATATCTTTGTTCCTACTTATGGAGGAAACATGGCAAAAGTTGTTGAAGGCCACAGAAGGTATATGCTATAAAACTCATATCAAACATGATTATTATCATTGTTGCCTCCGGAAACTTTGGAGTTATTCTCAATTTACTTTATGAGCTTTGAAAACTCTCACTTTGCCCCATAAATTTTGAATTAGTCTCATTAAATTAAGCCCCTTTATAAGATTTTCTATTAAAATCAAATCGAAAAAAAGGGTTAAGTGTCGTCATGTGGTTTTTATCTATTTGCTTTTAACAAATATTTAAATAGAAAGATCTCGCGACCGCATTACTCTCTTTTTTTATTTGTTTTTAATAGAAATTCCAATAGGAAGATTTAGTGGGAACAATTTAAAATTCATGGGGTAAAGTGAGAATTTTTAAACTTTGGAGGGCAAATTAAGAATGACTCTAAAATTTAGGGGACAACGGTGATAATAATCCTATCCAATAAATTCTTATTATATCTTTCTTCATAAACACGGAAGCTCATATTGCATAATTTTCACACATTTTGAATGAACAACAGAAAAGACAAAAAGAATGATCTTCTGATCTCTAATGGTTATTCTGGTTAGATTATAATATTATTATTAGCCCGCCTTCTATCAGCTTAATCTCTTGGAAAAATTAGTAAATTAACATTGTATAAAGTAGGTGATTTTACGTAACATCTTACATGCAGGCTTGTTGTCTCCTTTAATATATCCATATCGGGCAATGGTGAATGTTAAGTACTTTGTTTGAGCTAGGTCCACACATAAACAGAAGATTTCATGCAGTATTGTTGTTAAGCATTTGGGATTGATTGGTAATCTAACAGTTTTCTATTACTTTTAGATACTTGGGGTTCAAGAAAACCATACTTCCAGACAGAAAAGTGCTAGTAGCGCTGATAGACTACTACAACAATGGGACTATTGGCTGGGATGAGTTCTCTTTGGCTGTGAAGGCGGCTCATATAGATAGAATGGGAAATCCAACAAAGAGATCTGTGGTTCCTGGTAAACCAAAGGAAGAGGATTACTTCTACACAAATCCTCAGGAATGTCTATCACCTGCTGAACCTTAAATTTTTTTAAATACATAATCATCATCTGCCTCGTCCATATCTTCATTCTTTTGTTTTTATTTTCAGTGTAATTTTGGAGTTTTTGAAACAAAATGGGGAATAATCTTTTTTGAGATTTTCATTGGTTGGGGGGGATAGGGGCCAGATCATAATACCTCTTTTTCTTTGATATATTACCCTGAAAAATTGGGGCTGTATAAGTGGTATATATATATACACACACAAATTTATGCAAAGGATATTTCTCTTTTTATTTATTCATAATGAGGCAAAGAATGCGCTTGGTAAAAATTTTCCATGTTACTTTCGGTTTCAAAGCTTGTTTACGTTGAAATTCGAACTTTTTATAAACTAAAGACGTAAAAAAAAGTTAAATCTTTTGTTTTGCAAATATGATGATGATATTCTATCATAATTACTAATTTGTTAAAATGTTATATGGGGATTGTCAGGACGCATTGAAAGAGCTAGCAAAGGGTGGTGAGTACTTGTGATTCGAAAATAATGGACGTACACACATGATTCTTCATTGCTTTTGCGTATAATTAGTCGGTTTTTTTAGAGTTGGTTTCTTGTTGCTGCTTCTAATGTCAACAGAGATTGAGACCCTGCACCAAGAAGATAGTAAATTAGCGTACGTAGAACAAAGAAGTGATATAACGGTTAGGATGTCTTTATTATCTTCTGCTCATAAGATGGGTTCAATGGAATAAAGAGACAACTTACTCGTTAGCGTAATAGTTTAAACCTCAGTTTTCTAAAAAGGTTATTTATAGCATTGCTCTTTTACATACATGACAGCTCTTGAGAAAAAAAAAAAAAAAAAAAAAAAAAAAAGCTTAAAATTAAATTAATAGCAGATTTTTCTCTATAAATATCACATGTGAAGGAGTCACTCTCGATCCCGCTATAATTATCAGTATTAATTCTCCATTAATAACTCTCATAAATTTAAATTTTCTTTCAATTTTGAGTGATGGTGTATTATTTTCACTTCATGACTAGGTCTTGTTCCAACTATTATAATAATGATTTATGAATTAAGCTATCACTAGCTTTATGGGTGATATGTGGTTGTACAAAGCTCAATCATGCATTTACTCCGTTGTTATCATACATATAACTACGCATCTCAATTTTTATTTTTTATAATTTTTGAAGGGCCACCTTAACTTCTTTTTTTTTGTCTCTATATATGTTATATTTCTCTAGTGATCTGATATTAACGTACTTATATTGCACATTAATGTTGACGTAAAGCAAGGACAGAGACGTATATATTACTACCAAACGTCCCTTTTCTGATTTATTATTTAGGGATGCTCTCAAATCTCGCATGTGCTTTGTATCGTTTTTTTCATCTGGCACCATGTTTTAGCGGTTGGATTGGAAAGTAAGGACCTGAATCAAATGAAGGGTATCCTAATGTAATTTACCTTATTTTTGACATACAACAGAGTGATAAAATGAGAAGAAAAATGCAAAAGAAAAAAGGATTTAAATTAAAAAACGACCTGTAGCTCGTGCCAATCCTCTCTGAAATTTTCTCTCTCTCTTCCTCTATATCTCTTGTTCATCTTTCTTAAATACGTCACTTCGATGCAGTTTTACCATTCTACTTCCGTTACTTTGAGTGGAAATCATGGGTAACCTCGGCGATTTGGTTGTAAGGAATTGATAAACCATCAAGAAAAATCGGGTATCTCACTCTAGTAATTTAAGGCGATTTAGTCAGAAAATAAGTTATAAGTCTCTCAATTTCTCGCTTGTTTCAGACATTGACTGTTTTTGTTTTTTAATTGTAGATATTGCAGTAAATAAGCATATGAATAAACCCGTATAATTGTATCTGGTCAAGTATTTATTGTGGTTCTCACAGAGTGTAGCATAAGTATGGATTTTAATTTATTGTGGATAAACCCATGTAATACGCTGCAATTGTTGTTTAAAGAAGGGAAAGATTGAAAATACAAAATCTGCCCTATTGTATTTCTAATGCGTATATGTAATGTTTTCTTCTGTGTAACTTGGTTAACAGACATAGGTAACGTATATATACTATATATGTACTAATACTGCATGGTGGTTGATAATTTTATATTCGTTGTTAATCCATATTTATATGACTAATCCTTGAAAAAGATTGTTTCATGTTTAACTCTAGTGTTATTTGGTTGAGTAAACACACAGAAATCAATTAATTTTCTATGTGTAACCCTTGTAAACAGAATATGTAACCTGTAGGCAATGCATATCTAATCTACCCTTATGAGATGTTATTGTGTTAACTGAGGATATGAAAATATTTAACAATGCTTAACATCTCTATGATAGAAATGTTCGTGTAAATAAATAGTGTTTCTTAGAGTTGTCTTTTCTAATTTCTGAACAGGATGCAGATCAACAGTGAAAATAGTACATAACATGTTAGAACTGCATTGAATTATTTGGGTAGGACAAATGATTTAGTTAGGATTTAGGCCTCGTTTATTTTATCGATTTGAGTATTCAATTTCAATTTTATTACAGTTAAAAGCTCTTATAAAAAGTTACATTCACATCTAACATTTTTTGCTACAGTAATAAATTCTCACATAAAATCATATTTCAGCTCAAATTAGAAACTCGAATCCGCGAACTAATCGAGGCCTTAGTATCCTTAAAATTACAAGTTAAAGTCAAAAGGAAGATTTTCTGGGCATTAACATTGATTATGATATTTTGCCTCGTTAGAACCACCATGGAAACTTTTACCTTCTTTTGTGTGATGTAATTAAATCAATTTTTGTGAGTTTGGGTTGGGTTAACTTCATTGTGCAACCCAACGTGCTTATAAATCAACCGTGTTTCTTAATATTTACGTAATTAAACTATTTTTTTTAATTTATTTTGTACCCTTAAGGTATGGTCTGAATGAGAGGATTGAAAAACAAGCGTGAGGTGAGGGAGCCCTGATATCACTGACCATTCTGAAAGAGTGGGAGAATCTTTACTTTATCATGCACTTCACAAATTCATCTTCGTACGTATTATATCCCTTTATTTTCTTTAACTGAATAGGTTCATTATCAGAATCAAACTTCGCAAATATATATATCATACTTCAGCTAGACATCATACTATCAAAGTATGCTACATAGAAAATGAACTTTGACATTTTAAATATCTTAAAATGTTATATAATGCATAATAATTTTTATCACGAGAATCAACTTTCAAAATAATTACTCCCTCTTTTTCTTAACAAAATACATAGGGTCACATAGGTAAATTGTGAATAAAGGTTTAACGATTTTTACCACGAGAATCACTAATATTAAGCATAAAGTTAAATAGGGTCACACATAACTCGTCTGAGAATTACACTTTACCAGCCAAAGTTACCATGTTGTTTTCGTATATTAAAAAACCTTTCAATTCATTTTATAAATGCTATAAAATTAACCTTGTACTCCTCGACTCAATTCAATAAACGATTTTCCTTCCGTATAGGACCTAGATTTCTTGCAAAACATAATTCAGTATCGAATCAACAACAAACATTTGTAACATTCTTTTCGCATTTTCACCAACTCACAGTACACGTCGGTGCCATTTCCAATCCGGCTGCCGGATTGGAGAGTAAATTTGCTTACAAAATTGGTGAACTTTTTCTTTCTATAATATATCTTCTTCGATCTATCTATGCATAATTGCAATTTACAACAATTAAGCCATGCGGATACAATATATATATATATATATATATATGTATGTATATTTATAAGATAGAAGGAAAAAATAAAGTATATGATCTATTAGACTACTATATAAGATAATCAACAAGTCAAGAAGTATCGAAATAAAAAAACAGGTCAATAAGTATCAGCTTTAATATTTTAATATAAATGTGATATTAGAAGTACTACAACGAGTAGAACATATCAGATTGTAGGCGAAGAGGTTTTAATCACCACCAATTGATTAAACATTTGTTTAAAATATGTTTCATGTTCATTAATATGTAGAATCAGGTAATTAATAAATTTAATGCTCCATAAGTATTACGATTCCTAAAAGGATATCGTAGGTAGTACGGAAAACTATTAATTAGTGGGTATCTCATCATATTGATATTTTATATTATTATGTTTATCAGATTCCAAAAGAAATATGCATATAGAAAACAGTTGGAAAAAAGTTAAACAAAACTAATATTAATAAACTTCATCATATCAATCAGTCGTACGTGAAGCCACATATAACTGAATCGGGATATAACCTAATTATATTTTAAATTTAGATTTTACACATGAATTTTGATTTTCTAATAATGTTATTAATTGAGAAAAACAATGTAACCTCACTCAACAATTAACACTACAATTTTTTTGAAAAAATTATCTCTTATTTCTTTATTGTGTACTATTGAAATATGTTTCCTCACTAGTCCCGGATTTCTATTACTCAAGCATAAACAAAATTAGATTTAAAAATCTAATTTTTTTAGGGTAACATGGTAATTACTCAAGACGTAAACAAGATTACGATTTAAAGGAAAGACAAGGTCGTAGACAATTACGGTGACTACTACAAGCGACCGATATGTACGTTGAATCCGGATGACACTTCTAATGCATTTATCACTATTTTAATATTTATAGGGCATGACTGATATTAAATATCATAATATGATTTCACTCTCTAGGCTTTAACTAATAATAATAAAGGCATAAAGGGCAGTTCCTTTCTTTATATTAATTTAATTTATAAAAAAGCAACAACGTTATTCTCATGCAAATATTGCTACGGCATGCCGGTGTGGATTCCTCAAGCCCCTGCGTTTTAATCAAAAGCTGCAGGTTTTATTGAAAATCCACCTTTGGCGCCAAAGTACTTGTATCCCTCGTAAATTATATTCTTTGAAAGAAAATATAATTTATCAATAACAATACTCTCCACCTATTTTTGTCCCATTTTTTTCTTATATGTTTTCTGTTCGATATATCAACTGTTTTTGAGCTGTGCATATATATATATAGAAATATATTTGGAAACGTGGAAAAAACAAAAGTTGGTTTAGAAGAAGGGAAGGCTTCGGTGGCACATAAGATGGAGTACTATTCATATTCCAAGTATATGGTTGGGATCAAAATGAAGAAGCTGAGGAGTTTGGTTAAAGGATATTTGGGGGCTAAGAAGCTTAAGGGCTTGATCATGATTCCGCAGTACAAGCGAATGAACCGCTTCAAGTTGTGCGCTGTCGGAGCTACCGCGGCGCTGCTGCTCTGCGCTTGTCTGCTGCAGTTGAGCCTCAGCGAGCACACCAGACAGCCCGCCGCCAGACTGGCGTTTCGGTCCTCTCAACAGGTTGATCCGCCGCCAGAAAGTGAGTGCTCTAGTTCTAGTTCCACTAATAGCAGACGAAAACAAGACACAAAACCTAAGTGGCGAAAAATACTTCACCGTTACTCGACGTAACCATCTACCACAAAATGGGGATTAAAACTTAACACTACAGTGAGGGGAAAAAAAAAAAAAAAAAAGGCAGCCCACAATGTCAAAAAAGCCAGCAAAAATAGATCTGAACTGTGTCAGAGTCGTTGCAGCCAAAGCGCTATCAAGCCGTAGAGCCACCCATAATTGGCGAAGGCTAACCCTCTCAATACGCTGCCTCCCAGAGCGACGTTGCACCTTGAGAGCCCGAACCCCCAAAGACACCCACCCTCCTAAAAACTCACGCATCATGAGCCCACCCCAACCATAACAGAACCCCGCCCAGGCCCACGGCCATAGCCACGAACGGAACCAACATTGAGATCTACTCTGATGAAGGGGACAAAATCCAAAGGCCGCAGCACCGTCAGAAATCCTATGCTCCTGATGGAGACAGACGAAGTCCCACGTCGTCCACCGATCACCTCGCCAAAAACCAACTCCTTCCAACGAAACAGACAAACCCTCCACTAGGCTCCTTACTACGATGTTGAAACTTCCATCCCTAGGATTGGGAGCCTGAAGGGCGGCCAAACGCCACCGCCGGACTCCAGCCCTTAGAGGAAGACGCCCAAAATATCCTAACACCACTCAGGAGAAAGAGAGGGGGAGACCAAAAGTCATTCAAAAGTTAGTATTTATATTCTTATATACATAAATTGAATATAATATAAGTATATACATAAAATTTTCGTAGAATACACTAATATTATATAATTCTTTTAAGTAGTTTAGCTGTATTTTTCTTTTTTTCTTTTTTTTTATTCGTTCCAAGTGGTTATCTGCGTTTTCTTTGTTTACCACATTCCATACTGCAGATCATTAACTTTCTTGCTATTTTGGTGCAAGCCGAAAGCGTTTGGTGTACATTTTAGCGGAAACAAATTTTGGTCAGAAGTCCTCCGATTCAAAAAAAAAAAATTTTCTTTATTCTTCAGTGGATGCTTTTAAAATCGCATCCTGTATACAGGACTATCTCATTGCATGCGTGGTTGGTTTAAAGTTTGTGCACCTTTATATCCCTTAAACAATATAAGAAAGCAAACATTAACATAAATTAATATTGAAGAAGAAAGCAACTGGAGTTGCATGGGAATAAAAATGACTTTAGTGCCTAACAGATGCACCAAACATGAAGAACCAACTTATTTACCAGGAAATTAACCTGTAAAAGGCTCTTTTTGATACATTCAGAAACATTTATGTACTCTACAACCAAAATACAGGCAAGAGCACCCACCAACAGGAGATCGAAAACACCATCGGAAACTGCTCATCATGTCTTGAACCGCTTTTGAGCTTGATCGGAATCCTCCCGCCCACCAGTGTCTCTCTGATGTATCATTGTTTGATTGCTAGAAGGCGGATTTTCATAATCCTGGAAAACAGATTTAAACTTTTGAGATTACCTATCCCACGCACAGAATTCAGAGAAGGGGAACAGAAAGAAGAATCTCACCCCAGATTAGCCAATCCAACCATTCAAGGTGAAATCTAAAGGATCAACTTATCCAAGATGAAAATGGAAGTAATCAAGCTATACCTTAGAGATGGACGTCCCGGACGAAAGAGCTCTATTTGCGCGCTTGCCAAGATCAATCTGCACTGAGATGCCTGCCTGCGACAGATCCAAGCCCGCATTTTGCAATGCTTGAGCAACAGTGTTTAGTAATCTGTAGAGTGTTCACAACAAATAGCAAGGGTGTTAAAACTCAACAATTTTCTTGATATGCAGAAAAATGAGCAACTCATCTTTATGAAAATATACGTCAATGAAAGAATCTTTTGACTTCAGAGAAACACCGACCCTTGAGAGTAAGAACTCGTGATGCTAATTGTTCCCCCTTCAATCATGAGCTCCTCCTGTTGGTTCTGCGCATCGCTTGTCGTTGCGCATTGAGTTGATTGTGAATCAGAAACCGATACCTGAAGAGGATGTGCAAGCACAGCATCACTTCTTGTGGGGCCAGACAAACTCGCTGACTGGGGCATTGGTACAGGAATCCCCTTGTTAGCCATCTCAGGCTGACACTCCAAGGCCTTGCTAGGGACATCCCTGCTAGGGTCAGATTCAACTGGACTTTGTGTGCTTGTTATCATGGTTGGTGCAATTGAGATGTTATTCTCATCAAATTTTCCTGGAAATGCAGACCCTGGCCCATTCTTTATGGCTTGAGGATGACCGGCAAAACTCTGAACACGCCAGTGACTGTTTCTCTGTTTTATTCAAATACACACATGAAGATGTTACACGCAGAAGTATTTGAAGGAGTCAAATAAACTTATATTACGAAACGACCTTGATGTCACAGTGGCATATCCTCCAGCAAAGTTCCAATTAAAACAGTTAATATAAATCCATATTTAACAAAGTTGAGCCCATTGCAGTATCGCTTAAATCAACATTATTCTAGAAAGGAAATACCCAAAATGATCCATCCCAGACCTGAGTAATAATTAGGCATAAAACTAAAAAATCCAAGCTTAGTGAAAAATAATTTGAACTATGAGTTTAACATATCCTAAAATTACACACACGACCTTCAAATGTGGAAATGTTTCACGTCACAATGTAGAAAGAGCGTGTAAATGCCAAAAAAACAAAAACATCCTTAGCACGATAAGTCAATAACCAGTTTAATTAGTTTTCAACTCGTATGGTTGCAGAGTCTGAAGGTCTGAAAGCAGCAAACAAAAGAGCAGAAATTCAACATTTTCCAGTGAGCATTCACCCGGAAAGAAGAATGCTAGAGCCCAACATCTGAATAAAGTACAAAGCCAGAAATCAGAATTTTACCCAAGGTATCAACTTCATGGGCTCTGAATTCCATCCTGGGTATGAACCATCATACTTTTGTACCTTTTCCTGTAAATACTGAACATACTCGATCACCTGCATATGAAACCAGATAATCAATCAACATGTAATTCTATCATAGAATGAGGCATTTTCAACTGAAATTAAGTTATTAACGATATATTTTGTCGTCTCAGATGCCAAGAACACACCTCTAATAGGAATGATGCTGTATCTCTCTTCTGATCACTATGCGGTACAAGATCTCTCAGAATCTGGAATCTGAAAGAGTGAAAACAAAATATAGCTTTCAAGATCTATTTAACAACTTATTGATATGAAATAAACATAAGAATGAATACATGTTCAGACACATTTTTTCCCGAATCTAGTCCTATTTTTTAAACTAACCAAGCCCCTACCAAACCAAACATTTGAACCAACAAAATTTTCCATACAACCACCCCACAACATTATATGAAGCTTATCGCCAATCAAAGCAAACAATGCGAGCTTCAGAGCAATACTTTAAGTACCCTTCACAACTAATACTCTTCAAGCAAATGAAATGTTCAGAGTTATTAAAACCAGCACAACCAGAGTTTCATACAGATAAAATGGAATAGGTAACATTCATTTCCTTCTCCAATGGATTCATGATCTTTGCAATTATGAACAAGAGTTTACCTAAACTATATATTCTTGGAGGGAAAGGTGCAGATGGAATAAAAATACAATACATAATCACATATGCTAGATTTAATTTTTAAACCAATAAGTCTAAAACTAAAAAGTCATTACTACTAGATGTTCATGTGCATGTATTTGGGCATGTTCTTCTTTCATTAAAAATATAGGTGATTGAACAATGCATTTTCGTTCATACCTCTCATTGATCTTGCTCCTCCTTCTCTGTTCTGTCACTGAATGTTTTGATCGTATGGCATTAGCCTTATCATTATTCTTAGCATCTGGTTTCCACAGTCAAAACAACAATCAACAAAGGAAAATAAAGAAAAAGAAGAAATCAAAATGCTAAATTCAAATTTTCAATAATAATAAACCCCTAGAATTGGCCGTTGCCACCCAAAATTCGTGGGAACTCAAGCTTTCAAATCATAAAAATTCTGAAAAGAAATGCCCACAAAACGTCCAAAAAGAAATTGCACAGTACCAGGTATAAAAAAACAAAACTTCAACCCAAGGACAAAGAAAACCCAGTTGCATAACCTCGTAAATTCCATGAAAAATAAGATCTTCCTCGCTCGGATCTACAGAAACCCATTAAGTAAAAACAAAGGAAATACCTTTACTGTTGGAGTTGTTGGTATTGGAAGAAGGCCCCTCTTTTCTGGACCCAAAATCATCCTCCTCGTAGTCTTCCTCTTCGTGGCTACCTTTCGCCGGATTTCTCATCTGAACCCAAATTTTGACGTCCCAGAGGGAAATCTGAAATACCCAGAAGAGGAACACCGAAGAAAACGGAACAAGAGATTTGAGGAGGGGAAAAAAAAAAAAAGCGAAAACTTTTTGGTGGGTATTTCACTCTCGGGTTGGCCGAGCAGCAGTGTTGTTAGTTAAGAGTTTGGCAGCTTTTCTTCTATTGCTCTCTCTCTCTCTCTCTGTGTCTGCGTCAGATGCCTTGTGAACTTGTGAGTAGTGAGTCACCGTGACTCGTTTTGCCAGTGGTAGATAGGAATGCTATGCCCGTCAGCTCATGTGCTTCCCGTGAGGATCTCAAAATTTCAAGTCTCTTTTTTTTTTTATTCGTTGGCAAATCAGAAATATACGTTCTGGGCAAAAAAATAAATAAATAAATAACCTCATACTGTTTGACAACTAATTTATGTGATTGAAATTTTTGTTTCGCTTCACTTATGTGAAAAAATTAATATAACAGAAAAAATTAAATTTAAATTTTTATAAAAAAAGACATTATTATTAAAATTTGAGTTATGTGATATGCTTAGAATACAAATAACAATAAGTAAAAAAAAAAAACCAAGAAATTCAAATAAATAATAGTATAAGTGAAAAGTTTTTATGATTAAATACATAAAGTATTTTAAATTATTTAAAAAATAGAAAAAAAATAAATAGAAAAAAAATAAAACACTTAAAACTCTTCGTTTTGGATCCGACAATTTGTCCAAATAAATGTAATTTTGATGTTTTCTTAGTTTATAAAGACTTTTATGATTTTTTTTTTCTTCTTATGTTTTTATACGAGGAAAACGAATGTATCTTTAAGGACACAATGGTATTTTCCTTAAAATTTTCAACCAAAAAAGGTTAGATTGGATAATATAATGGTATTTTCTTTAAAATTTTCAACCAAAAAAGGTTAGGTTGGATAATATAATGGTATTTTCCTTTAAACTTTTCAACCAAAAAAGGTTATGTTGGATAATATAATGGTATGTTCCTTAAAATTTTCAACCAAAAAAGGTTAGGTTGGATTAGGGGTGAAAGAAATCACCCCGAACCTGACTACCCTGCCCAAATATATAGGGTTTTTTTCGGTTTAAAATTAGCCCAACCTACAATGGGCGGGTAGGGTACCAAGAAATTCAAATAAATAATAGTATAAGTGAAAAGTTTTTATGATTAAATACATAAAGTATTTTAAATTATTTAAAAAATAGAAAAAAAATAAATAGAAAAAAAATAAAACACTTAAAACTCTTCGTTTTGGATCCGACAATTTGTCCAAATAAATGTAATTTTGATGTTTTCTTAGTTTATAAAGACTTTTATGATTTTTTTTTTCTTCTTATGTTTTTATACGAGGAAAACGAATGTATCTTTAAGGACACAATGGTATTTTCCTTAAAATTTTCAACCAAAAAAGGTTAGATTGGATAATATAATGGTATTTTCTTTAAAATTTTCAACCAAAAAAGGTTAGGTTGGATAATATAATGGTATTTTCCTTTAAACTTTTCAACCAAAAAAGGTTATGTTGGATAATATAATGGTATGTTCCTTAAAATTTTCAACCAAAAAAGGTTAGGTTGGATTAGGGGTGAAAGAAATCACCCCGAACCTGACTACCCTGCCCAAATATATAGGGTTTTTTTCGGTTTAAAATTAGCCCAACCTACAATGGGCGGGTAGGGTCTCGAGTCCAAGCTCCATTACCCCAATTAACCTTACCCGGCCCAAAATAACCATCTGCACTTAAAAAAAACCCCTACATCACCTATCTTTCTCATTTCTCATTCTGAGCAGAGCATCCCACCGCCCCCTTTACCTCTCTCAAATCTGATCTGACTGAGTCTCACGATGCAAAGCATGTTTAATGTTATTCGCAAGCAATAGCCTTTTTCAGTTAAACTCTTTTCCCCTTTCTTCTTTAATGTTGTTCGTGTTATATCTTATGAACAAGCCCCCTTCTTCGGATTCAAAGTTTGGAAAGGCCCTTCAGGGATTCAAGAACATGCCTTTCTTCGGATTTAAAGTTTGGAGAGGTTCAATATCTTTCCTTTAAGAAGTTGAAATAAGTATTTATGGTTTTAGTGCCATATTGTTTGTTGGGCCCTTTTTTTCATAGATCTTATACCTTAAACATTACAGGATTGGATGGTAAAGTTGTTATCTGGGATTTGGAAGACCAAGCATATCTGTCTAAATATTTGTGAACCCTCATTGTGAAGAACATCGTGCAACGCCGGTAGGAAAGAGGCTTTCTATATTGGTCTTGATTGGTGACCAGCTCACAATCAGTGTTAATTTTCTACGAAAGCCTTCCATACGAGTCCTAGTGACTTTAGCTTTGTACTTCCTAACTGATCCTCATACTCTGTTTTTTTTTTTTAAATTTGGACTCTTTATTCATTATTTCTGTATGTGAACTCTTTTAATTTCTAGACTCTTTCCGATAGTTTACCTACGGTCTCATGCAAAAGCAGTAATTCAGCAAAGAATCACCCATTTTAGAGTTGGTTTACCGGTGGAAAAACATAAATAAGCAAATTTAGAGTTAGTTTACCCGAAGTAACCCGGCCGACTCGAGGTAACCGAATGGTATACGGGTTCTGTGATTAATTAACATGTTGCAGCCCAGTATTTTCTCAAGCCGATTATTGCGAGCCGGCCCAAAAAAGTCTAAAAAATGACCCTACCCAGCCGACTTTCACCCATAGGTTGGATAATATAATGGTATTTTCCTTAAAATTTTCAACCAAAAAAGGTTAGGTTAGATAATATTATACTATATATTAAACAAGGCACCGGGTTTACTGTTCTTTGAACAGTGTCCGATCTTTTTTGTCCCTCAGATTTGACAAAATTCCTTATGTCTCATGTTATTATTCATTTTACCGTTTTGCCCTCGGTTCTTTATTTCTTCAGTTGTTTTTGTTTGGGTTTTTTCGTCATTTTCACTGCATTTTGCCCGATTTATTTTCTACCTCGGATTTTAGAAAATTCTGCTCATGTCCCCTTAGTGTTGCTTTTACCATTTTGTCCTATGTTTCTTATTTATTCATATGTTTTTTGTTGGGCTTTTTAGTCATTTTTACTGCCCCACAATTACGATGTTGTTTTTTCTGGTGGGAAAAAGATTCTATGCGACGAGATTAGCATAAAGTCCACGTATCAAAACACAGTTGGGTTGTTCTTAAGTGCCATCCACGTGGTAAATACAGACCGCTAGATAGACAACGACGCAACGTGTCACAATTCTAATGGTCAATAAGAGCCCACTCACGTGAAACTAAAGCAGATGATCTCGTGCATCTCCTATTGCGGTTGATAGCCTTAACCGCGTGTCGCGCTTTAATTCGTCGAAAGAAGCAAGTGGCGGGGCCCACCTCCAGTATTGCTGACGCCTTTGTCCTCAGCCTCATGCTAGACGTGCATCTCCTTGCGCGTGTGTTTCACGCGCCAATCGCAGCCGCTCACTTTTTAGATCCAACGACCTGTGATAAATCTCGCATTATTTTTAATTATTATATTTAATGACTAAATTTTAATGGATTTGTTGTCCAATTTTATCCGTTTTAACACCATTTTGCGTGACATTTCTGATACGACTTAGATAAAAATACTATAAATAATCAAATTAAATTCAAAAAATACACTAAATAAAATAAAATCACTTCAAATTAAATTAAACAAAATAGGTCTATACAAGCCTATCAGCCTGATCCCTCCGCTACCACAGCAGACCACTAAAAAAAATTTATTATTAAAGCTCTGCTACATATGTTGCACCACAAGCTCTTTGGGTTGGACCAAATAGAATTTGGGTCATTATACTCTAACACGTTTCTTTTATGCCTTTTTCCACTTGCGTTTCTTTTTTTTAAAACAATTTGCATACTAATTATTTTAAATAGATCACGTGGATGACTTGAAATCATTCCCTTTTTTCCTAATTATTATTATTAATTATGTTTATTTCTTTCTTTCTTTTTAAGTGAACAAAATATATATGTGTAAATAATATGTATACATATGTAATACAATCACGACAATGTGTAAAGGGTGCATTTAGAATTAGTTTTAAAATGATTTTGTTTTCAATAAAAAGTAAAAATGAGATTGTTTTGAGAATCATTCTAGAACTGATTCTGAAATTGCGTTTGGTTGATTTTTTTAGAGATTATTTTGAGTATAATAAAAAAGTGAAATCGTGTTTATTAATTAATATATTATAATATTGTTGATAAGTACTAAAAAATGAAACAGAAAAATGAAAATAACTTTCAATTGTTTTCTAATTCCTTCACAAAGACCATTCTCATTGTTTTTGTTTTTCAAACATTGGCTAAACAAACGTCGTTTCATTTTCATTTTCATTTTTTACTTCTCGAAATACGTAAAAATCGTTTTCAAAAACGGTTCTAAACATGCACTTAATTTTGATTGTTTATCATCATTTGTTTTAACCTTTGAATGTCATTTTCATACTCTGTTTTTTTTATAATGTAATCACTTTTTTGTAACTAATTATTATATTATTGTATTTAATCTTATCATAAAATAAAAAAACAAACATCCGTGCAACAACATGGATATCTCACTAGTTATAACTAAAACGTCGTCTTTTCAAAACAAAAAACAAAAAAAGCAGTAGAAAATAAAATTAAAACTAAACATCATCTATACATCAAGAGTAAAGGGGTAACAATTTAAGACTCAGACACTTTTAAAAGATATTTATCAAGATTTATATATATATATATATATATATATAAACTCGTCCATATATATATTTAAGTGTATATGTATAATTGAGACTTAGTTTTAGGGCACTTTATAGAAATTCCACAGGTTTTTGACTTAGATTGAAATATGTCAAAAGACATAAATTATTGCAGAGAATGTCGCAGTCAAAGATACTTAAAAATCATAAAATTCATAAAAATCACAAATATATATGAAAAACCACAAAATGTCTTACAAAATCTAAAATATTGAATTAAATACACTAAAGTACAAGTATAATTTTGGTCAAAACACAAAACTTGAATAATGTTATTGTGGTATATTTTGTAATAGTCTTAGTACCCACGATAAAAGTCAATCCAACCTTAAAAACTATGGCATATTACTTAAATATCTCTTAGTTTTATATGGTCAACAAGAGTCAAGGTCCAAGCCCAACCTTTTTTTTGTCCAACCTATTTTAATTTTGAGAAAATGAGACAAATATCACTTAGAGTGCATAGGTCTGGATTTTTACCTTTTATTACTAATTAAATCCTTCTTAGTCACATAACTATATGAGTCAAAAGAGTATTAATTAAGAGTAAAAAGGGTAAGTTCAACAATTTTCTCCTTAATTTTTAGTAGTACACAACCCTACATTTTAGATTATTATGAAAGTCTTGTATTTTATGGTAAATTTTATGTCAAAGACTTGAATTTTATTTTAGATTTTGTGTTGTAATGAATTAGATTTTGTAAAACTATTTTAATTTTATGTTATGTTAAGTTTGTGTCCAATTTTGTAATTAATTTTATGAAAATATTAAAAAGAGAGGACCTATAAGAGTCAACCCAATCTTTGAATTCGCATAATCCAATCCACAAAATTCATTGTTTTGGATTAGACTGGGATCTTATGGATTGGTAATAGATTGAGATTTTTTCAATTTGAAAAACATATTAGATTGTAGATTGAGCTCTAATTTGTATAATCCGATCTATGAACACCCTTAGTTAATTAAGTATAAATATGGATATACACCCATTGGGCCTGTTTAATAACTATTATAAACCTTGGCTTATTTATTTTTAGAGATAATTGGTGAACTCACCCTTTAAATGTAGTGTTCTAAGATTTTTACTATTTACTCTTGATTAATACTCTTTTGACCAATATAGTTTGTTAACTAAATAGTATTAATTAAGAGTAAGGAAGTAAAAATATAAGACATACATTTTACGGCCCGGTACTCGTCTTTTTTTCCCTTATTTTTGTTGCCTTTTTAATCAGGTCTATTTCCCTTGATCTCCCTTATTTATGTACACTAATTCTTATCTTATTCGCAATAAATTTCAAATCAAGTCTCAAAAAAAACTTGTTTCATCCATAAGTTAACAAAGTCATTTATAGTAAAGCTAGAAATTTGTTCTTGAACCCACGATTCTAATTCTGCTACAGTGTTTTCCATTTCACAAAGAATTTAGATTCAAAAATTTCTTCTCTCACAAAGTTTTGCCAATGAATCATAATCATTAACATAAACGCGTGAACCAAATGGACCCAAACTGAACACAATATTAAACCATTTTAACTTTATTTATTTATTTATTTTTACCTTTATATTACTTTTTCAATTTTTTGGCTCTATATATAGTTTTTTTTTTTTCAAATAAGAGTTTAAAGTTAGGCTTGAGCCAAAAAATATATAACAATTACTAATCAGTATTATACATGTTTTTTTCGAAATATATTTAAAAATAAGACCAATTTATGACATCATATAATTTGTAGATTTGATGAGAAGGGCATTGACCTCAACATTTTCTCTTTGTCAGATTTCTTAAGATATCTCTTTTTAGCGCTAGAATATGTGTTTATCAATATATAAAGGTTCTATTTAATTCACCGATTCGAGTTTAGAATTTGAGTTTTACTACAGTAAAAGGCTTTCATAAATAATCACATCTAACTTTTTTGTTATAATAAAAAACTCTCATATAAAGTCACATCTTAACTCGAATTAAAAATTCAAATCAACGAACTAAACAGGCTTAAAAAGTCTAATAATGCACGGTTTCAACCAAAACGAGACACTATGGAAGTCTTGTGGGAGTGGGACCATTTGCCCCCGTTGGACCTATGCCATCTTTACCAGTGCACTTTGCCCTCTTTGTTAGCAAGTGCTAGAAAAGTTGATAAAGATGTGTTACTTTGCCTTCAAGCCTTATAGAAGTCTTTCTTTATGCCTAACTTTCAATCACATCTAACTTTAACAACTAAACTTTTCAAAAGTAAACAAATTAACTTTTAAACTTCAATTGTGTGCCACTGTACTCTTTAAACTTAAAAAACCTGTTTATTTCATATACTCAAACTCGAATTATTAATTTTATTATAGTGTTTTACTCTCATAAAAATTTAAATTTCAAACGTTAGAATTAAAAATTATAATTTGAATATACCTTCTAAACGGGTCCAAAATAAATCTCAATTTAACAGTTGATAGAGGAATGACATCGAGGCAAGACCGGAATGTTGCCCGATTGGGGAGTCTCTATCAAGGAGAATTTTCCTAAACCTTACTCACTTACCTTTTAAGAAAAGAGTAGTTTGCAACGAACTTACCAGTGAGTTCACTCTCAAGGTTAAGGATGCAACAACTGTGGAGTATGGGGGCAACAGTCTAGCAACAACAGCGCCCTCTTGGTTGATGTCATAGAAACCCATGAGGAAGACATGAGAAGAGAACCACAGAAAGTGGAGGTTGTGTACAATGTCTAGGACTGAGGTTGGGTTAATAGTAAATTAACTATTTGAAAATTACAAGGCATTAGGTTAGGATAAAAAAAATTTCAACAATATATATGTACACAATATTTAAAAGAAAAAAGGTACTAGCATATTTCCTTGTGGCGGGGTGTTGCTGAGTCCAAATACGTTGTCTTTGTTTTCATGTTTTGGTGATTATTTTTTCATTTATTATTTGTCATGTCATTTAAATTTAAAAATTTAATCACGAAATAAATTATTAAAAATACATAAATAAATTATGAATTATCAAAATTTAATTAAAAAAACAACTATTGAGACATAAATATCAGCCCCTTGTCCTGCTTCCATTTTATAGTATCTAAACCCGCCTTTATTAGGGGTGGGTACTTTTGAGTGTAATTGGCAGCTTCATTGCTAGTAAGAAGGGCAAAAATTAAGGACCGCACAAACATCTCCCAAGTACTCCCAACCAAAACATAGCCTTAATTATTGTTTCTTTCGTGACTAGCAAAAAAAAAATTATTTTTTCCTTGTCGCATGAATATCGTCCCATGTCTTTTTTCTTTTTCCTTCATAATTTAAAATTGGAGAGTAAACTTATCATGAAGTCAACTTAGAAATTACCGCTAAATTATAACTATCGGTTAAAAGTACATAAAATTTTCTTTTATTTAAAAAAAAAAAAAAATTTTTTTTTTTTAAAAAAAAAAAAAAAAAAAAAAACAAACCACCACATGGTGTTTTTTTTGTTTTGTTTTGTTTTGTTTTGGTCGAAGCCTTAATTAACCATTATCCATGCATATCTATTCATGCATGCTTACCTCCACATCTCCGAGCAATTCCAGCCTCAACAAATGCCAAGTGTCTCGTGTCTCCGTTCTCTCTCCACGTGGCAACCGCTTTCTGATCAAGTCCACACCACGTGGCAAGAATCAATCGGGTCATTAGCTCTTCAGATCGGGATCTCCGCAAAAATCCATCGACCCCATATCAAATGTGGGTCCCAACTCACATTCAGGTATTATAATAATAATAACAATACTACATGTTCTTGAAGTAGTAGTGATCTTCCAACACTAAATACTCATTCCTAATTTCAAAAAAAAAAAAAAAAAAAAAGAGGCCGATCAATGCATCAAATTCCTCGGATCAACCCCATAATTTCACTAATCGATCATGAACAAGTAAAGCCGTGGCTAACCCTCTCTCTAGCCTTGTTCTTCTTCTGTCCAATATTCACTTTCTTTGCATTGTTCTGCCTCTTCTTCTCTCTCTTTTTTCTCCTCCCAACTCTCACCTTAATTCTGGCTCTAAAGCTCTTATTTCATGAACCCTTTAGAATTATTGACGTGAGAAGTGCAATATTAGGCACCAAATTCAATTTCCCTAGTGAACTGCAAAGCCTTATTAGTACACTTTGTACTGATATTGATGAAGAGAGGATAATCAATAATACTACTACTTTGGAACGACAATTAGAACATAATTCGAAGGAGAAGCAGGTTAATTTTGACTTGGATTCTACGGAGCTTCCGAGTTTCTCCGAAACCGACGACGATGATGAGAAAGGCGCGAAGGAGAGATCGACGGTCGAAGATGGAGAACAATCTCAGCAAATTCTGGTTCCGGAAACCGATGTCAAAAGGGAAGAATTTCGTGAACCATGGGTACGTATGTAATATAATATTGTATCTGCAATTTTGCTGTAAATTTTTCTTTTGGCTGGAAAATTTTTCACTTGTGTAAAAAGATTAAGGTTTAATTTACGCATAGTGATTAACAGACTTTATATGGGAGGGTTTAAATTATGATGCTTTTAGTTTTTATTTTAGAATTAGAATCATAATTATTCATATTTTGAGTCTAAAGTATAATCAGATATTTGAACCACTTAAAATTGAGAGCCTGATTTTAGAATTAGGGTAATTTATAATTTAAAACATCATATTAAAATTTAAAATTTAAATCAGAACTATCCCAATTAAATACGAATTTTAAGTGAGTTAAATCATAATAATTTTTTATTTTTTAAAAACAAACACTACTTTTGAATTAGAATCATAATTCTAAATTCAGAATTTTTACACTAAACAACACCTAAATTTGATTTGCACGAGAATAGTTTTGCATGTTGTCTCATGCAAATTAAAGTCGTTAATACACATATATATAAATTTTTCTCAGGGGCGGAGCTTTATAATATTGTTGGCCTCAATAATTTTGTTCTTTTGTATAATTTTTCCCTTAATTTTTCCTTTTGAAACTTTTTAATCATTATATATTTATATAATATCTTTATAAAAAATCAATTGGACCTTATATTTTTTTCTTTTTAAATATACTCCTATTCAAATTTAAAACCTCAAATAAAATAAAATTAACTAGCTAGGCTAATTTTTTACTCCCTAACTTTTCAAAAAAATAAATGAAAATAAAAAGAAATAGTTAATTGTTGTCTTGTAATTTTTATTCAACGTTTTCGTTTAATTTATGCTCTTCAAAAAAAAAAAAAAAAACAAAAATCAGACTTCCCCCCTGATTTCACAGGGATGTTATTGTTGAATAACAATTAACTTTTTGTTTCACTTGTATTAATATCACGTTTCCTTTATTCATTTCTTTTAATGCAGTTCAGTGACGTTTTGACATTCTGGAAAAGGATGGAGAAAGGAGAACTGGAAGAGGCATTAGGCCGGTAAAAGTTTCAACCTTTATTTAACCGTTTTTTAGGTATTTTTTTTTATTTTTTGTTTATAACGTGGAATCAAATCAGTGAATTTTGACCACTGAATTTAGTGATGCTAACAATTGGGGATTTTTGTATAAAATCAAAGCTTAAAGAGAATGAGCCCTATCCCTACTTAAGGAGAGGTGGGGGTCAGAATTCAAGATCAGATATTTCTTGTGAGGCCTTTTTCATACATGTTGCGCTCTAATTTAAGATAAAAAAAGGATAGAAATTCACTATAAATTTAAACAATCAAATGTTCAACAAAACAAATTAAATTCTAAACCTATGCAAACCAAATCTTAGTAGGTGAGAAAAGGTCTAATCATACATATTTACATATAAAATATATAATACATGAATATCGGGGCAGGTAGTGCTTACCCGAGCCCTGCCCTTTCACGGTTGGGGATAAGATTTTATCCGCATCCTTAGTTTCATCCCCAATTATTGTTCCCCTTCCTCGCCCTGTTCAGAACCATCATCCCTAGTATAAAGTCGACGCCAAATTCATAATTTGTTCGAGATAAGCTTATACACAATCATTACTTTAATAAAGGTCAGAGGGACCAAGGTCGAAAAGACTAGGGCCCGTTTAGTTCGTTGATTTGAGTTTTTAATTCGAGTTAAGATGTGATGTTATGTGAGAGCTTTTTACTGTAGTAAAAAAGTTAGATGTGACTGTTTCTTAGAGCTTTTTACTGTAGCAAAACTCGAATTCTAAACTCGAATCGGCGAAGTGAACGGGGCCTAAATTAGCCGAACTTTTGAAGAAAAATGCTTTCCGGCGGCGATCATGGTCTCTTCTGGACTAGTTGCTGGTGAGTGAGTTTTCGTAGTCTTTACATTTTTGCTCTCACTGGGGGAAGAAAAGCACAAAGAAAACAACCTTAATATAGAACTGTGCCGTGTCTCCTTTTTATTCTTGCCCATCTTGTTTCTATGATATGATATTGTGATATTCTTGCAAGGATCAGCCAATTTTGGATCGCGACACACTGAAGAGAAAGCGGTTTGCAACCAAAAAAGATGGATCTTCAGTACAGTACTCAAACTTTGGTGTAAGATTTATGTTTTTCTTTTAACTATGAGCTATGTTATGAAAACACTTGTCTTTGTCCTTGTATATATAGCTGAAGTTTACGTGATGGTCACGTAAAATATGGGTGTGATTACTTTTTCTTTTGTTGTTTTCTTTCTCTCTTTTTTTTTTTTTTTTTTGGGTTGGTAAATTGTACATTTGGTATTTTGGTTGAAAGAGAAAGATCTCGGAAGGCAAGTGGAAGGATTTATTTATAGTTTCAAGACACGCCTTTTTTAATAGACTTTTCATCGGACCTTGACCAACTATATATGCTTATACAATATGTGAGATTCTTTGAACCTCTTCCAAGTAGTGCTGGCACAAGTTTAAATCTAGGAAGTTTCTCGACTCTCGATATAGTGCTTATTTCTACTTTACCACCTTGAACCGTGTTGTGCACTTAAATTTATTAACAAAAAACAATGCTGAAAGGGACTGTGATTCCACCTTCTTCTGTTAGGGTGTGGTGTGGTGTTAAATATTTCTAAGTATTTCTTTTAAACAAAAAGGGGAAGTTGCCTCGCATGGAGGAGGGGGAGGGGAATGTATTGTGCATGGAGACGCAGGCATGTGGGATTGTTCTTACAGGGACAATAATGACGTCCTTTAAGATTTTATCATCTGCTACTTGATAATGTCGTCTGAGACAACACCGTATTTTTCTCAAAAGAAACTTAATTTTGTATTTTTTTTATATTGAAATATGAATTTAGTAGTCTGTATTTTTTTTTTATATCATACGGGTGGTTCTTTTTTTAAGACGTAACATGTCAAAAATGTCCTCTCATCAATTAAATAGAAATCAATAATCAATAACTTTTTAAAAAGATCTAAAAATTTTTAATACATTAAAAAATCAAAAATTACACAATAGAAAAAATTATTGTCTTTCCCAAAAATTAGATCGGAGAATCCTCTTCTCTTTCTTTTCTCAGATATGGGAAATTCAACCCCCGCGCCCTCTTTCATCCGTGCCGTTGGTGATGTGCCTCCCCTCAGTGTCTTGATTCCGTCGACTGAGGGATTTGAAATTCTCTGGCAGCAAATCCAAAACAGAGTCGTGCCTCCTCCTTCGTCTGGTGGTGGTGGACTCCAACGTGTCAATGAGATATTTTACGCACAAATAAAAAGTGAATTAAAAAGTTATTTAAAAATGTAATACTGTCACTAGGGTTGTTCACGGTATGGTCCGATCCAAAATCGTTAGGTTTCTAGACCAAGCTATTATTAACGGTTTCAAAAAATTTAAACTGGACCATACTATTTATAAGATGGAACCAGACCATTAGTAAACAATCCGATTCGGTCAAACTGCAGTTTGGATCGTTAGTCCTTTTTTTCTAAATTAAAATGTTAACAATAATATATATCACCCTTTAAAATTAGCATCTTAAAAGTTACAGACAATAATAATATGTAGTACAAAGTAAAAGTCCTTGATCTAATAATATTATAGTCATCTAAAAGGGTCACAATACTAACATGCAATCCAAATCAAAAGAAAGTCCATAACTAGTAGTATTACACTCATCCAAAACCAAGAGTTCACAGATAACAATAACATGCAATCCAAAATAAAAGTTCACAACAATTAATATTACAGTCATCCAAAGTCTAAATTTAAATAATACGTTTTTTTTTTTTTACTTTTTTAATATAAATCCTAATGTCCTGTTCGAATCGAATTGTTAGAAAAAAATTGCAAACTGAATCGGACTGTTAAGAAGTTGGTCTGGTTTGATTTTAAACCGCTTATTAACAATGCTAACGTAATAAAATTAGACCGACGATATGAAAACTACTAGTCCAATTTGAACCGACGATTTAAGCTAAACCGTGCACAATCCTAACTAGAATCCCATGTCATATGTCATGAGTAATATTTTTGCCACATCAGCAAAATTATGCATAGGCATTTTTGACGCCATTAAATTATTAAAAGTTAAATACAAGCGCCACAAAATGTGTAGATAATTTGAGTCACCTACACATGTGTATAATTGCCTATTTCTCTAACTTTTGTTATCCACACATTTAAAAAATTATTTGTGCAAAAAAAAAAAATAATAAGTTTTACCCACACATTTTTACCACGTCAACAATCCTATGTGGCAGGATTTTTGCCGCTATTGGAATTTTTTGGCACCACATATTTGCGCCAAAAAATGTGTAGGTAATTGAAGTTACCTACACATAAGTATATGTATGCAATAGTCTATCTTCGCACTTTTATTACCCACGCATTTAAAAAATTTTATGTGGGGGTAAAAATATACTTTATCCACACATTTATTCCACGTCAGCAATCCTATGTGGCCAGATTTTTACCGCTATTTTTATTTTTTTTACGGCAAATATGGTGCCAAAAAATGTGTAGGTAATTTTAGACTGCTACACATAAATATATCTAAGTAATACTCTATTTTCCCACCCTTTCATTACCCACACATTTAAAAATTTTTGTGTGGGTAAAAATATGCTTTACTCACACATTTTTGCCACGTAAGCAATCTACGTGGTGGGATTTTCACAGATTGAATTCTTTCAAAAATATGTAGGTAATTTTAGTCACCTACACATACATATGTGTAGGTAATATACTACTTTCCCACACTTTTATTACCTACAAACAAAAAAATTATGTGTGGGTAAAAGTAGAGTTTTACCCACACATTTCTGTATGAAAATAGAAATGAAAATGTTTTCATTTTTGTTTTGAAATTATTTCTGAAAATGTGTTTGGTAGTTTTATTCAGAGATTGATTTCAGTTTAAAAAAAAAAATTGAAACTGCGTTTGGTGGTTTAATTTTTAAAAACATGTAATAATATTTAAAATAATAATATATTAAATAAATAATATTATTAAATATAATATAATATAATAAATAAATAATATTATTAAATATATTAAATAAACGTGATTATAT